TTGCTTGATGGACTTTTGAAAAGGGTCATTCGAAAGTGACGGTAAAGCATACACCCACAAATCAAAAACTGAAGGTCAAGGCGCCCTCACTGTGCTTGAGGGATTTAACCAGTTATAGCACACTCTCAAAGGTGACGTTGCACTTCTGGGGGTGGTTGATTGACGCCATCGTCTTGTAGCGTCGGCTTCGCTCTGACTTACCGTGAAACGAAGCGCAGTGACTGCCGCATATTGCTATACACCTACTACAAACTTGGCCAGCGTACACCGAGCACAATCCGCTCACCGCCCAAGGCCGTGCTCTGTCGTCGATCAGGAGTAGTGCTCGAGTCTCTTAGACGTCGGTCTGATACACGTAATTTTCGCGCCACTGTTTGTGGAGCAAGTAACATAAGGACGTACGGGGAGCGACACACTTAACACGAACACGCGAGGCTTTGTTTGCACTCACGTAGAGTCCACAATATTATTGGTATTAGGCGAACAGGCCTCTGCCCCATTGACCACCGCTTCTCTGACACCGCCCGGATCCGGGTCGGTGGCAGCATGACACTTCCTCAACGTCATCAAACGGAAATCGAGGAACCGTTTTTGTTTTTTATGAGTTTTGCCTGGAACTAGTCTACGAACCAGTCGTAAACTTGTTTCAGGCACTTGCATGCCAGCACCAAGGTACAGCGCGTTGCATGATGTACTGTCGTGACGTCGTCTCGTGGTAACTGGTTAAGGTAAGCATTGCGAAATACTGTCGAAGATGCGCACTTGTTGCAACTGGTATACTGTGGCAGTTGGTGTAAGGATCGACGAGGGCTCCGCGGGTGGGCCGTTAGCACTAGAGGGACTTGGCTGATAGGAAAGTGATGGCGCAAACACTTCTCGTGGTGCGCGATCTCGAGAGACAGACGTACTTTACAACGCTAAAATCAAAACGCGTTTGTTTCTCCCCCTTCGAGAGACTAGGAGCGTGCGTTTTGGGCCGGGAGAGGGGATCGGTGGCCGAGTGGTCTAGCGCACACCAGCTCGGAGCACGTGGAGCGAAAGCTCGCGCTGCAGAACCCAGGGATCCTGGAGGTTCGAGCCCCACCCCTGCCCGTTTCGATCTGGATGAGCATCGTACCGGCGTGCGGTCGTGTATCACTACTGCGTGATGCACGTTAAAGACCCCAGGCTAGCGGCTGTACCGCACTGGCTAAATTTCTCATCTACAGCTGGGAGACTCGTCGCCCCTGTGAGGCAGACCAAGTTCTAAACTGTATAAACATACACACAACCCAATTTTTGTTTTTGGGGGGGCCGGGAGAACGCGATGGTTCTGGGTGGCACCTTTTACATTGGTGTAGTCTTCCTCGCCCGCTTGTTAAAGGGGCACGGAAGAACGGCAACGTCAGGCCGCGTCTGGCAAAATGAATGACAGGATGGCTCAGTCGGCGGGGTCCACACACCGGTGTCGGCTGTCTGACTCGCCTTGCGAGCTCTAAATATAGTTTGTTTGCTTGCATCCCAACCCGCCCGACCTTTGGCCGTGAGATATACGCAGACCGCGTGGTATCACACGGGAATACAAGCCATTGCCCCGTGGTGAGGAAGTTAGCCGATTGGTTGTGGCCTTTCGGCCAGTGGAAAACGCCTATCTGACGACGCCCCGAGGATTTGCCGGTTCACTAAAAGGGGCTGGACCAACGTGTGACTTTGAGGAAAAACGAAGCAAGTGGGTTTAGTTTTGTGCTGGAGCTCGAGAGCTAACGCTCCGGAATCGGGGCAGGCCGTGGGGTTTCGAGGGACCTCGTAATCGGGACGTAATGAGCCAGCCAACACCCGAGCTTGGATAAGCTAAGACCCAAGCACCTCCTTCCCAACCCCGTACAGGGAAAATAACCTTTTTTTGAGTATTGTTTCGTTCATGTATTTTCATTTGCTACAAAATATTAAATTACTAAGTGAAAAGTAATTACAATTTCAACTGAATTCGTCGTGGATGGCCAAGGGAAGCTACTTCGTCTCTGACAAGACCCTCCCAGCAAAGAACCCGTACTGGCGCAGTCGACAGAATTGGTTTCAACATAAAAAAAAACAGAAGAAACGTCATCGAGAGACAACAGATCGACTAACAGATCGACTATCGCAGAGGGCCCACAAGTCAGAGACCTACTAGCGTCATGCGAGCTCACTGTCACCACGTGCCATCCAGTCCGCGGAAGACTCCGAGACTCCGGTGAGTGGAACGTTCTCGTTTCTTTGGTGTGTGCGCAGACGTAGGAGTCAGTTGGCACGAAACGATGAAGAAAGCTGGGGATAAAGCGAAAACTGCGGAAAAAGGCAAAGGGACTGACGGAGGAGCAGAAGGGTCGGAAGGTCGGTACGCCGACGAGCGCGCTGCCCATGCGCACGGTGAAACTATGCGGCGCATGGAGCATGAGCACGAAATCTCCATGTTCAGGCTCAAACTTGAGAACGAGGGAAAAATTGCGGCAATGCGTGGACCGAGTGCCGGTGGCCGCGCAGCTACCGCGGCGACCGGAATGAGCAAGTTGAACCATGTTTCCCAATGCGCGAAACTTCTAAAGAATCAGTAACTACCACCTGACGCGGAAGTTCCGGTCTGGTTCGACGGTGTGGAAAAGATGTTCGCAGCCCATATAGTGCCTAATGAAAGCCGAGTGCATTTGATTATGCCGGCCTTGTCAGAAAGAGTTAAATACGTTTTTACGAAGTTATCTGCGTAGGAAATAGCTGATTAATACACGGTCAAGGCCGCCGTCCTGGACCAGCTCCGACTCACCCCTGGCAAGTACCGGAAACGGTTTGGCGGCGCGCGTAAGCGAAAAGACGAGGGGTGGGCGCAGTTCGCTTCGAGGACGGCCCGCTATTTCAGCTACTACCTGGAGGCGCGCAGTGCAGAGATTAAAAAGGACCTGATTCATCTAATGGTCGCAGACCAGGTGAAGTCGAGCCTCAGTGAGGAGTGTCTCCGACACGTGACGCAGCGCGAAGAGACAAAGTGACTGCAGGCGCACGAGATGGCTAAGGTACAATAGGTTTACAAGTAGGCAGAGAGAGGCGGACAGACGGCAAGAGGGGCGGATATCGAAGGCAAGGAACCGAAGCAGAAAGCAGACGGTTCGAGGCAGACCTCCGTCTCGCCCCTCGCCCCCTTGCATCAGTTTTATCCAGAGCAGTCCCATGGCGAAGAACTGCTCTACGCGTAAAGATGAGGATCAAACCGCGCGAAGGTCAGAGGCTCGAAAGCCATACGTACAAGCAGTGGCGACAGGGAGCGAATTCGCACCCTCGGGTCCCCCGGATCAGCTAACGGCTGTAATAGATACGTGCAAAACCAGGGATTCGGAGAATTGGATTTGATCCTGGTCGAACTCGCCTCCGTTGACCGGGAGCTGACCGCCGTGCTAGACACCGCAACTGAAATAACAGTCATCAGAGAGCCGTTCCGCGGAAACTAGACGAACCTAGCGGCACAATTTGCCCCATTTGCCTTTGCCTTTGGGCCACAAGTAACAGCCCAACTCGCGCGTTTGTCGCTGCAAGCCGGAACCCGAAGCCGGGTTAGTCAGAAGGACCCGGTCAGCGAAAGCTTACGTTAGCGTACCATCGATTCGAGACTCATCTTCATTCGTCTGTCTCGTTCCAGCTCCTTCCCGGCCTGTATTCTCACGTGAGCAATCCGAGGACCACGTGGGCTTCTTCGGAGTCATCGGGGAGCACATGGACGGTCCCACCGGAAAGCTGCGCGTCGTGTCCCAAGTCCCGCCGCGCCAGGAGTGCGCCGACGTGCTGGTGTCCACGACAGGGACACCAGCACGTCTTTGGGGGCTCGTACATTATTGTTCCACGGGTCGCTCAGATGAATTAAAAATGTGTTTAGAGTTACCATCGCTTGTCTATTGCTCCATCACCACCGTTTACTCCAATAGGAGTCTGTAGACTACAACTGGTCGTTCGTAAAGCAGCAGTTGTTGTTGTTTTGTTTTTTTTCTGGTTGAATCGCAACTCCACTGTTCTTTTAGTTTGATATACATAGGTGTACACATACATAACCATTTTGAATAGTGTTGCTTTTCCTCAAATTTATGGTACGCACGTAGGGGGTGTTGGAGACGGTGTGCGTCAAAAATCAAATTCGGAAGTATTACGTGCCAAACCCAACAAAGAGCATCTAGAACGCCTCAGCGGAAGACTGAGCATTAATTTCAACCACCGGGAGACCTTTCACGTGCAATGGGAAGCTCCGTTGCATGGCGCCTTCTTCGAAATAAGACTTCATCATACAGAGGGCACCTAGGCAGGGATTCGAACCCGTCACCTAAAGATCCGTAGGCCGGCACTTCACCTCGAACCACCCAGACCGCTACGGGGTGCATCCGATGCCCTCTTTTCGGGGCGTACCATGTGCTATAAACCATTCCAATATAATCACCTGATACATGCTGCCCTCTTGGTCTAGTGGGCTGTGAAATGCATTTTGGGCATGTGCACTAACTTTCTGCTGTGACATTCCAGACGGTGCACTTGTGCCCAAAGCCCAATGACCCGGCTTTTTTTGTTTTTTTCACACTAGTGTAAAGGTGTATGGGGCGACAGTGACAAGGCTGCGAAAGCGCTTGAACCCACGCAAGGACTAGCTAGGTGCATATTGCAGTATGCCATTGGCCCAAAGAAAGAAAGAATACAACATTTAAGTACACGAACATAGACATACAACATTATTTTGAAGAATGGTGTTTCTTGTCCGCTTTAACCATTCTTTTAAATGTAAGCCCGTCACCTTTAAATGTTTTAATCTTTCGCTGTGTAGTGTCCACAACGCGCTACCGGTATCTACTTAGCATATGCCGTCGGCAGCCTACCCCTTTTTTATAAACACGTTGATTTTTCCACACTTGCTCGAAACCAAACAAGCCAAAATCTCAACTGAGATGGTCTCAATCAAAACAAAATTACCAACAACGTTTTCGACTACAGTCTGTGTCCACTAAAGTTCAGGACAGTCTCCAGCGCTCAAGGGGAGAACTTCCTACAGTGAGCTGGGCGATTTCAAGCGCGACCACTGCGAGCGAGCGTTGTACTTCACAACCGACAACATTTTATTAACAGGTTCTTCGTCTCAGTATGTACAATTTGAATCAAAACCTCCCATGTCATATGCACGCGGGAAAGCCACGCATTCGTGGCATAAAAGGGCACGATATCGATGCGGTTATCAGTAAATTGGGGTGCTTCGTTGTTAACAGTAAAGTGCCTGCAATGCGTCTTCACTTGTTGTTTATAATATTAATAATAATATTATTATTCATAATTTAATAACTGTAATAATGTTTACTTTTCGTCACCGTCCGTACGTCAAAAGTGGTTTCCCAAGGGGGCAACAAATGACGTCACAGAAGCATCCGTGTCACGTTGTCGGATGTCGCGATCCTGGCGTTTGGCGCCGGAAGTCCCTGGAGAAAGTGCGAGCGGACACGAGCGTCGCCGTCGTCGCGTAATCCCAACTCCCGACTTTCGAAGTTTCCGTGGTCTGTGAAGCTGGAGAGCGACCTGCAGCAAGACAGGCGTCTGCCACTTCCACAATTGCAGCTGTGGCGCCGCCAGGTTCGCGGCCGGCGAAAACGTGAAACTTCTTTGACGTCATCGGGCGGAAATCGAGGGACTACATTTTTTTAGACGCGGCAAACGCACCAGTGGGAGACACGTTTCAGTCAGCGTATAAAAGCAAATTGGTTCAGCGCAACGACCAGAAACAGCTGTGCGAGCGGGCAACACGGTGGGGCAGAAAAGCACGAATCTAATGTCGAAACCGAACAAAACACAAACACATTTGAAATTAAGTTTTAAAAAAGAAAAGCAAAACACATGCGGGTGAATTCCAGCGTGCTTTGAAAGCGGTGCGAGCGTGACTTCCGGCGCAACTTGAACCCATTATAAACATTTAAAAAATATATATAAAGATTGATAACATATGAAACCATGTAAATGCGAACATACCAATGAAACTGAAAGCACGCTAAATGTCCCCCCAAAAAAACGCGGCGCCATAAGAAACTTTATTGTTCAAGAAACAGAGGTAAACAGCTTACACGGTAATCAACGTCGACTTTTTGTGCCACTTCTCTATCTTAACGTCGCGCGAGATTGAACACGCGAATGGAGAGAGGCAGCTTCTTCATTATTGCAGAATTCTCCCGTCGATCAGAAACTTCACCACTCGGAGTCTCGCGTTTGGTGAAGGCACCATGAGTTCTGCCACGTATAGTTGCACAAAGAATTCACACGGGAGAGGGCATTTGGTTTTGTGACAGCGTCGCTGCAAGTCGGCTAAATACACAATTACTCCGAATGCCGAGTCGTAAAAAACCAGAAAAGGTAAAAAAAAAAAGACTCTTTCGTTAATGTTTATTTTTTAGTTCAACATTATCTCGTTGTATTATATTGATTTTGACGTGCTACCTTATGAGTAGCCAACAGCTTCCAGTAAAGGTTTTTTTTTTCTTTTTTTTTTATTCAGTATTTTGAATAATGAGTCTTTGAACGGCCCCTTTATCATTCAAGTGACGTCATCAGATTCGAATGGCATCAATTCAGCAGTTGGACCCGAACCCAAATCCGAGCGTCTTCAGACACGTGATTGGACACGATGCCCGGCCGAACACCGACGCAGTATCCGTGCCTGCGCTCGATCTCGCTACGATGATATTCGAATTCTAGTGCACCCGGGCTTTGTCTACATCGTTTGAGTCTTTTTTCTATAGTTACTCGTTTTCAACGAAACAAATCCTTTATAGTTTAGCTTCGTCACGTCTCTACAAATTGTATCGCGTTAAAGAGATTTGTAGTTTCTTTCTTGGAAACAGGCGAGGACGGTAAAACTTCGCACAATCGAAAGTTGTAGCGTATATAACTTTCACCGCAGCAGCCACCGCACGTGGAACGTCAGAGCGTCATGGCACTTGGTCCTACTGCTTGTTGCAACACTTGGAAGTGAACGACTTGCCACCCTTCTCACTCAGAGTAACCTTGTCGTCTTCATCAGGCACGGCCCTTTTCATCATAGTTCTGCAACGAGAAAATAAGGTAGGACAAAGAAAGTGAAAGAAAAGGGTCGCTTCGCACGCCTCAATCGGGTTAACGCGGAAATTAGTCGTACGCTTATCCGGGATGTTTTATTCTAACTCTATTCTATGGAAGCGTGAAATGCTTTTATACGAAACCTCCCTTCATCCCAGAAATGTGTTCATACGCCCGTTCGTGGCGTGCGATTCCCCCGCTAAGTTTGGAGGGGGGAAAGTGACGTCACGCGACGTCCTATTATCACGTAATATGACCCCACATCGTGACATCACGTCACGTGATCACGTCACATGACGTCAATAGACCCTTTTCAAAAGTCTGTCAAGCAACATTGGCAGTCGCCATTGCTTGGACACGAAGCGCCCGATTGGATCCGAGTCTTTGCCGAACTCTGACGTCACAGTCGCGTCCAATACATGCTCAAATCACGTGATCGAACAATGGCGGCCTGACGTTGGCCCGGTGATTGGCTCTCCGAGTGTTGTGCGGGAAAGTAGACGCACGTACTTTTTTTAGACGGATAGCCAATTTCATTAGATTCTTCTGCAATGCCCAACCACAGAATACCTTCTAAACCTCCGATATATCCTACCTCGTCAAAGACGCGATGGCTTCGTTGATGTTCGAACCATCCTTGGCGCTTGTCTCGACAAAAATAGCCTTCATCTCCTGGGGGAAAAGAAATATGCGTTATGCGATCAAATGTCTAAGCACTAAACAGAGAATTTTGTTTTAGAAATGCGACCCGGAAAGCCTATGGCGTGGGCACTACGTACCTCCGAGATTTTTTCGCCGGCCTCTTTTTCCACAATGGACTTCCCTTGAACACGGGCAATCTCTCGGAGGTCGGTCTTGTTGGACACCAGGACAATCGGAATGCCCCTGGATGCCGCTTCCTGGGAAATCGTAGCCCGAGAAATCAACGGCGCATTAATTAAGAAAAAAAAGGCTCAACCGCGGTGCACTTAGTGGATGACTTCGGAACAAGGAAGGATTACTTGCTGTCGAGTAAAGGTACTCCGTTTCATCCTAAATCCGAGCGCCACCAACGTTACGAGCCCAGTGGGGCCAACCGAACTTCTCAAAATGCGCTATATAACCGCATGTTTCGTGTTCCTATGCGCGTGTCACCACCAGCTGATACGATCAAGAGGGCAGAATACGTCATGACATCGCGTTTTAGCCTATGCATTTCTGTTCACAGTGCAACTAGTTTTTACTCCCGCTCGCACCTAAACGGAGTATACAATTAAATCGCGGTTTCTTCCATTGCAGTACGGAACTCTAACCCGATCACACTCGGTCGTACCAACGACTGAGATTGAGCATGATCAACGTTATACCCACAAAAGTCATGCCCGTGTGCTTCGACACTGATCGTGACGTAGATCTAGGTAAAAATTACGCCCCACGCCGGAACAACGTACACTCTAAAAAAAAAAAAAAAAAAAAAAAAAAAAAGGAAAAAAAAGCTTGTGCGCCTACTTTCCCGCACAACACTCGGAGAGCCAATCACCGCTACTTACTGGAGGCGGCTCAGCGAACGACGATGCCGAACCGTATGTTTAGACCAAAAAACGCAGTCTGAGTTGTGAGATTAAGCGATGGAAACGTGATGTTTTGAATTAGTTAATGTCACAACTCAGACTGCGGCTCTCAGTATATGCTTCGTTTCAGCTTCGGTCCGAGCGCGGCCGATGTTATGAGCCGAAGGGCCAATCAAACACCGCAAAAAGCGCAGCGTCATGGCGTGCTCTCTGCGCTTGATAAGACTAGCCGGCGGAGAAGCACGCACAGAGAGACAGCGAATACTGGCTGGTCCGTTCAACTGCAGAGAGCACGCCATGACGTTGTGCCTCTTTCGCAGTTTGATTGGCCTTTCGGCGCATAACATCGGCCGCGCTCGGACCGAGGCTGAAACGAAGTATAAACGTATGTTTCGGCAGCGTCATTCGCTGAGCCGCCTCCGTAAGTTCCGGTGATTGGCTCTCCGAGTGGTGTGCGGGAAAGTAGACGCACGGGCTCTTTTTAGAGTGTGGGGTGGCGGGGCACATTCCACAAAGAACATGGGAGTGTAGCACCAACATAACGAAGTGGAAAAGGCCGCGTACTTGTTCCAAAGTTTTCGTCGTTCATATTATTTGTGGTTACTTAAAATTTTAAAAATGCGAAGTAAGTGCCAGCCTAAAACACGGTGCAGACAAATGCAAGTCTGTACGCCTCAGGGTGCGTTTTAAGACAAGTTACGGCCGGAAATCAAATCACCCGATATACACCGAGTCTAGACCGGTAAAGGTTTAATTGAAAGTAACGAGTCGGGTATTAAGGGAATTTCAGGCTGACCCGTCCCACGCTCACGTCAGGTTCAGCGTGAGAGGTCATGCCTCATCTTTGAGCCGCAAACGTTTTTGTTCGAAAAATAGTTTTCACGCGTATACCTTAACACGTATTTAGCACAGTGCAGTAATCCCTATAATTGTACCGATTGCAATAGTGATCGACTAAGCGTAGAATGCAAGCGTAAGCTGACCCTAGAAATATAAAACCACATTCACAACGTGAGGAGACAATTCGTTATATACAAGCGGAAAGATAAACACGATGACAGAACCGGGTGGACGCAGCCAGGTTTATTTTCCAGCCTGCATGCCGAGTTTCACCAGCGCAGTATCGTCACCAAATGGACAGATAAAGAAGGCTCTCCTTGTACGTACCTCCAAGTCCGACATCCACTGCCTGACGTTCAGGAAGGACTGTTCGTTGGTGCAGTCGTACATGAGCATGACTCCGTCCGCCTTGCGGAAGTAGGACTGCGTGATGCACCGGAACCTACGACAGAAGTCGGCAAACCCTGTTTAACATCTGTTCAGCTAAACTCGCACAGCAAACTCGACTCTACTTCGTCTCACTGTAATGTGCATGCAGTGAGCTACGGCAAAGCGAACGAGCGTTAGTTCCTTGCTTTCGAACGCGCCCCTGCTACATGAGCGCTGCTGCAGCGAATACACCCGCCAAAGCCACTAGCCTATAGCTTGTGGCTGTAGCCTTCACTAGAGTGCCTGGAACGCGTCTCCGCCTGGTGTGCGGGCGCCGAGGAACTGCGAGAGTGTAGGAGGAAAAGATCATGTGGTGACGTAAGAACGCCGAGCTCTGGTTAGTATGGTTGGGTAGACCTAAAGCTACCTGCATATGTCTTCACTGCCATAGCCTCTTTTACTCTAGAAAACCTGTCAAATCGCGAAAGAACGTGGTCGCCGTAAGGGGGAAAGGAGTTCAGAAAAGAAGACGCGAGCAAGGGCTCCCTCTGGCAGCGCCAAACAATGCCCCAGCGGTAAAATCCAAAAACACAAATGCGCCTTTTTTTTTTCTTTTTGAGGGGGGGGGGGGAAGATTTTGCGTTGACCCTCTCCTATTCCGCCCCTCTCCCGTTTCCTCAAGCGCCAATATCCTCCTTTCTTTTTTTTTTTTCTTATTTTTTGGGGGGTCCAGTTCGTTGTTTTTCGGAGAGGCCACCGCGCGTATTGTTGGCGCTGGCTAAAGAGCTACTCCAGAAGGTGCTCCAGCGCTACCAAATGAGTAACCGTGCTCCTCGCCTTCTTTCGGCAGCCAAGCGCTAAATGGCTCCGTCGTGGAACTGACAGCTTTTTATAGAACAAAGGAGGCTACGCCACCACACTCGTTGAAACGCGCCAGAACGCGGAACGCCGGAGTGCGGCTTTCACACTCGAACGCGTTCGACGAGTGCAGCGGAGAAAAGACAGCTCTGTGGAGTGTAAGTTCGTCTGTTTTTTCATGATGTCTGAACGCCGAGTTCTAACTGGCCGATGGGAAAAACTAGTGGGCAGTCCTCAAGGCATCTAGCATTGAGGTCTACCCAGTATCATTTCAATCAAAGCCAATCAGAACACGGCGTCTTTCTAACGTCACCGCAACTTTTGCGCAAGAAGCAGAGGACTTGCTCTCCTCATAGCTTTAGGGCTACCCACTAATCATTCCAACCAGAGCTCGTCGTTCTCACGTCCCCGCTCGCAGTTGTCTTCTCCTCTCCCTCAGATCCTCGGCACAAAAAATTCCGCCCATAAATCTAATTAATGAGCTCTCGAAGTGGCAACAAATGACGTCACAAACGCCGGAGCGTCATGCTGTCGGATGTCGCGATCATGGCGGTTAGCGTATAAAAGTTCTGGAGAAGAAAAAACAAAGCAAGAGACAACGTAAGTGTCGCGGACTTCAAGACCTTTTCAGCAATGTACCGCCATTTCACGCCGTGTGTCAGGAATGAAAGCGAATCTTCGGTAGGCGGTGCCGCTCTCTTCTTCCCTGGAAGGCATATCGCACATTCCGTGCTGACCATTTTTTGGCAGCATGATTGAGCTGGTATAATTCTATTATTGTCTGCCTCTTCCTAAGGCGACAAACATTAGAGGGGGTACTCTAACATCGCCTAGATATAACCAGGTCGCATATTGTTGGATTTTCTACGCCACCTGGCCGAGGCCAGCTATTGCTGCTTTAGCTTTAAGCCGGGACTCGTGCGTGATCAGACTGACAACACGAGTTTTAGCCGAGCGTTGGCGCTGCACTCGTGTTCGATCGGCACCCGACGCTGACCAATTGTACAGAGTGTGGCCGTAATAACTAACCCATTCGGCGCACCTTGCGAAATTCCAATTCCAAACGTACACACCTGAAATTGAGCACGCGATGGTAGTTTCGCAAGGAGTTTTACGTCTATTTTTTTCTTCGGAGCTCAAGCAAGAGCTGGTAAAATATTAAGAATAGATCGAAAATGGCGACCATGCATTCCGTATGCCTCATACCGGATTTTCGTCGTCTGCACACTGGTTTGTGAGCTTGCACCCAGGTGGCCATAGGTCATATATTCTGTTAAAAGTATTAATTATCGCGATTATCTCGCTCATCGCCAGCGTCTGGCTTTTGGTTTTGGGCGTTTCTGATTTCAGCAAGCCACCCGGGAGCGAGCTGATAAACCAGCGTGCAGACAACAAACAGGCTGGTATAGGACATGGGAAATGCACCGACTCCGATTTTCGTTTCATATTTAATATTTCGCTACCTAAGAATTGAGCTCTAAAAAAAATAGCCGTAAAACTTCTGGCAAAACTACCTTCGCGCGCCATATTTCAAGTATGCACGTTTTAAATTCGAATTCCGCAAGTGGTGCCGAACGTGTTAGTCCTTGCGGCCGCACCCTGTAGGTGACCTTGAAAGCTCGGTAGAACCTTGCTATCTTCCAGTTGCCACCTGAAGGCGGCAGAAGCTAGAGGGGACATTTAAGGTCCACCCTACACGAGAAGAACGACCAATAAGGGGCATTATCGCTCTCACGTGACCATTGAAAGAGGGCTAAGGAATTCAGTGTGGCAAAAAAAGACTTCAGCCTGAATGGGGAAAAAACATATATATATATATATATATATATAGCATATTCCACACGTCGCTTCTAATGGGAGAAACGGGGGCGTCTGTGTGGCAACGCGATAACATAACACTCGGAGACAGACAGTACCTTTCTTGCCCTGCCGTGTCCCAAAGCTGGAGGCTGACATTAACCCCGTCTATGCGAATGTTCTTCGTCTGGAAGTCCACGCCTGCGCATAAGAATCGGGTGCCATGTTAGGTGCCTACTGCGCCCCAATTGCCTTCTTCCACTATGCGAACAGACCACAAACACCGTCTGCGTTGCGGACATATCCGTGCATCCTATTGTTGCTACACAGCCAATAGGAATGCTGAATAAGGAACCGCGAAGCCTAGACACAAAAAGTGCCCCGTGTCTTAGGCTATCCGTGAAAAGTAAAAATAAAGAAACGGAGTGAGGAGTCCCGAGCACATTAAAATGGCTCCGCCGTCGTTCCTGCCTTAGCGAATAAGAGCCCCAAGGATCATATCATGAAGCAAGAGATTATAAGTCATTAACGACCATCATAAATTATGAGATAGAGGGACGTTAACTCGTTTGTTTACATGCCTTTCTCAATCTAGCCACCGAGAGTAAACGTTAGAGTCACCGACAGCACATAAACTACAACACTTTTGAGGCACTTTATACGTCCCGCAAAAGTCGGTTTCTCAGCGTATCGCGCGACATTTTACTACGGTGGCGCAAGCAGGTGGCGGAAGCTTACAGTGAAAAAAAAAAATAAGGAAAGAAATGAAATTATCTCCTTTAAAAGAAACCAAAACAGAAACCTATTCTGGGCAATCTGCGCCGCCACTTCGCAGACGATGCACGCGTTGTAAGAAGTGCTGCCGACAGATGGCGAAAGCAGCGTCGAGGGTTATCGCAAAAGAACCCGAATCGGCCGGCGCTCCCTCGCGCGGCGTACGCCATCTGTCGGCGGCACTTCTCACCACGCGTGCATCGTCTGCGTAGTGGCTGCGTAGATTGCCCAGAACAGGTTTCTGTTTAAGTTTCTTAAAAAAAAAAAAAAAAGTTCATTCCATGATTTTTTTTTTTTACTGTAAACTTTTGCCGCTTGTTTGCACCTCCTTAATAAATTGCAGCGAAATACGTCGAGAAATCAATTTATTACGGGCCTCCTAGAGGGAATTAAAGGCGTTAGTTTACAGATTGTAGATTCGACCTGGCAGCACACGAAATACTATAACTCTCGCAATCACTGGTTACATCCCTTTTAATAAAATTAAGATTTCCAGGTCACATACCTGTGCGCAATCTTCCACTATCAGAACCGGAAACATAATTCTCTCACGCGCAAGTGAGATCAAACATTTAAGATAAAAGGGGGGTTTCTAGATTAGGAAACCGCAACAAAAACTCTCTTCGAAACGTTTCTAGGTTTTACAAAAACGTCGCAAGAGATAGACAAAATATGAATGCATGTACGTAAACAAAATTGTGTATATATTACACATATAAAGAGTGCCGTAGGCCGGGGTCCCACCGCTTATGCATCATACAAAAGACAGTCTGCCAACACGAGTCATCGTAATACCCGTGGTTCGAATGCAATGTGCCCGGCTTCTCCTTGGACTCATTGCCATGCGGCATTCGAAGCACGAATCTCGCGGTGAATCGTGTTCAAATCTGTTTGCAGACTGTCTTTTGTATGACGCATGAGCAGAGTAACCCCGGATGTATGCTCTTTACAGATTTGTAACATGCTATGCTTTGTAGTAACCCTCGCCATCAGGTCACTTGGACCCAGATAAAATAACTCGCGACGCGTAAACGTTAAATGCGGTAGAGGAACGTACCAAGCGTAGACGTGAGCTGCGGCATAAAGATGCCCCTGCTGAGCCTCATGATGAAGGACGACTTGCCCACCGCCGCGTCGCCCACAAACACCACCTTGAACGTGTGTTCCGGTGGGCCCGTGCAACACGTGAAGCTGGCCGCCCTCTGGACGCTATGGAGACTTGCATCCGCGACCGCGACCTTTGCCTGCGGAGTCGACGTCCTCGGACAGTCTTCGTCGAAGACCGGCGGTTCTTCAAAATGAGAGTCCACGTCGTCCAGTGGGGACGTCACCGCGTTGTCTTGCCGAGACAGGTGCTTTCGAGGCCTGGGCTTGGGTTCGGTGGACGCCGGGATGCGAGACCTTGGAAGAGGCACCGGAGGACTAGAGTTCCTCGTCGGAGAGAGCGACCTCTGACGCCGACTCCGGGGCGCAGTCGCGGGCGGGGAGTCTTCGATTTGGCGGAAAGAACCGGAAGGACTCCGCGGGTTTCGATTGTACCTCGGGGTGGAGAGAAGAACGTAGTTTCAGTGACACTGGCACGGTAAAGAGACATTCGAAGCCGCAGTTTCACCCTTCATACATCGTGCAAAAGATCTCGCTGTAGGAAGGACAGCAGAGTTATCTGCGGATATGTATGCTTCAAGCATGTCTGCGGACAGTTTTTGTATGCCCGATCGGATGGCGCTATCATGTGAGGGAGAGACACGCGTCAGACAGTGTCTTCAGACTGTTCCTCTGGGGGAAGGACCCATACGCGGATACGAGACCTAATATGTCCGTGAGTGGTATGTGGTTGGTTATAAAAGGCGGCGTTATACAAATAACAAAACATTTCAGTAGTTCTTACAACGATTTTGAAAAGTTGTCCCTTCCATTGGGAGCTTAGGGTTCCTTTTTTGTTTTAATTACATTTCACGCAAAAGTTTCATCCTCCACTCTTCGCGTAAAATAAAACCATTATAATTCCGAGGTTATGTAGGACAAGCTCTGCGATTTAGTCCGCGCGCTTGATGCACAACTTCATATATTATTATTCAAGCATAAAATGTTTCTACCGCTCCGGTTAATCTCACACGTGGCGAGCCATTAAAAAAAAAGCCGTTTGCACGTAATAACTTCATGAAATTATTATGACACCTAATATGACAGGGCGAACTTGTGTTAAACAGAATAAAGAACGAGCGTCGAGATAGCAGAAAAATGGGCGGCAATTTAGCAGCGTAAGAGCAAGTGAGAGCGAGATTGACTCAACAAAGTCACAGGAATCTCCTTATCTAGTCTGCGTCGGCATCGCGAAAATTAGGTCCAAAAGGTTCGAGCATCGAGCGTTCGGGGTGAGAATGAACAGCCACTTTCTAGAACAAGAAACTAAGACCAAATGATCAAAGTTACGCCCTGAGTAAGAATAAGCGCGAATCTTCTAGAATTTCGTGACCGGGTGATGCTTGCTCGGCCCTGCGCGGGGCATAATGTCCCCTGCGAGGTTGGCAATGACATGGTATTATCCTGCGTCTCTTCTGTTCCAGTTGTCAACTTCGATCGCACAACCTTGCATGTACCCCGTTCCACGAGAGCTTGGGTTCAAAGTTCGCAGCTCATACGAGATATAAGCATCTTAAAATGCATTGCCTCGCAACGAGCGAGGCAAGACAGTAATTGTATCTCTTATTACGCCTCGTCTCTTATCATAGACAGTCTATAGGTTTCAAAGTCGCCCGAACTTTGCCCGATCTCTCTTTACCTCCCAATCCGCTTGCTCTTAATTAAGTCCGAAGCACCGAAGTCAACCTTCGAGAGTGAAAACCTCACCTCGCCGTGACAGGATCGACGCCTAGCTGTCTCTTTATTTCACTGATCCTCCTGGACGAGAGGTTACCCCTGTTCGGGGCCTTGGGAGACCCGTCGATGCTCTCCATCTGCGGTAAGACGAGCCGAGGCCTCATGAAATGCGGAGCGATGTGAGCCCCGAATATTTGATTCACTACGACGGACAAACGCATTACGACTAAGCGGGTAATACGACGAATAATCACATTACAACGGAATGAATCGACACGACTAACTGTACGGTTAGGCGGGCCATCGCGGCACGGCGGGCGTTCGTGGGACGACTGAACGTGCATGACGACTAGCCGGTCCTTTTTGAAACCAACAGGTTTGAAACCATCGGTTACCATCGCTCAGCCATTAATAATACTTTATTATACCCGATAAAAACGCCAACGACAGAATCACGAAGCAAGAATTGCGCGAAGACCGGACACCACGCGTCTTACACGCGTGCCAGGTTTCCTATTGAAGCTCATAGCCATGTGACATTCGAAGCACGGATCTCACGATGACTCACGTTCGAATCTGCATGCAGACCGTCTTTTGTATGACGTATAAAGAGTGTGACCCCAGCTTAACGGTTTAGAACCGGGAAAAAAATGGTTTCCACTCACACTGCACCAGGTATTCCGGCTTCCGATGCCGCTCTCGCTGCTGGCGGACACGGACGTTGCGCGTTCCTCTCGTACCGCTGGAGACTTAGCGGCGATGTCTCCAAGTGTCGGCGGTAGGGACTCCACGCTGCGCTCGGACTTCAACTTCCGATGCCTGAGCGTGACTGGCGGACCCAGGCAGGCGTTGCCATGAGATGCCGACAGAGCGGCAGCGCTCGAGTCGAGACTGTCCTCCCGGTCCAGGACCGGCGAAGTCACCGAGGACAGGGACCGTGGCCTCAGGGACACCGTGTCGGAGGACAGCGACGGCAGAGTGGCATCGAACGCCAAGGTAGTGTCGAACGAGTTGTCCACTTGAGTGTCCGCTTCGGCCACGGAGCGTAGTGTGGACAATCCGCTGTCTGGCGCGAAAAGGGAAAACAGCGTATAGGACAGTGCACTTAAAATGTTGTGCCGCGTGTTTGTATCGTTGCTTCTTCCCCCGACATTGTGACTGCATAAGTCAAATGCGTTCCTGCTTTTCCCCTCTTTAGGGGTCTATAGTTACTGAAACTTGTCTGCTACCACTATTCCTACTTGTGGAGTGGGCGGTGCTTTGAGCTGGGAAGACCGAATGCTAAACGCTGTGGTTACATGCCGCGTGGTTCGTCTGCGTCGCTCTAAGTCATGAAACGATAGTCCTCAATTCTACAAAGTTTTAGAGTGGCAGTCTATTTTTATTTTCACCAAAAGCCGAATGCATGATTACTGCTTCGACCCGGGCTTTGATGGGCCAGGTCATAATGTAACCACAATTATGCGTAGCTTTTAAGCTTTTCTTTAAGGACGCTGCCGCCATACTCGTTCTCTTCTTTCAATCTTCCCGCTCCGTTCCCGTACTTCGTTTTTATACATATTTTTTAACAACGAACCATCACACATTGCCACTCTGCTTTTTTTATTCTTTTTTTTTTTAATCTCTTTTTACCATCTACACTTTTTTTATGTTTTTCCATTCCATGAAACTGCAATGCATGTCAGGCTGGCCGCCATTTTCATGTACCTCATGGTGCTACTACATATCACTCTGACCACTTGTTGGTGTTGTTGTTGTTTCGTTTTGTACACGACATTTTGAGCCGTGCCGCGTTGTTGACAGTACATCAAACACCTGGTGATACGAATCTATTGTAACGTTTCTTTTTGAAGTGACAAAAAAAAAAGCAGAACATCACACTTTGAAGGCGTAGCCGCAACCTCTGACTTTTGTCTAGGACAAGCAGAGTACATCAAACGGAACTGCGGAGGCGAACCCCACTGACTCTTCGCCCATACTTTGGATGTCGACGCGGCTTCTCTTCCGAACGCGGCTTCTCTCCCAAAAATACGCAGCGCCCGCAGCTCCTCACACTGGTAGAAAAAAAGGCAACCAAACCTAAACTTTGGGAAATTCATCTGTCTTGAGATTCGTGTCAATCCTTGCGCTCAACACCCTCGGCGCTACAAGGGTTACCGTTCGCAGCACCAGGTCAAAACGTTTATATGTTCACACCGCGGGCGTTAGTGGCGCGTTCACCATTTGCGAAAGTCAAATCGAAATCATCGTTTATGCAACATTAACTCAAACAATCTTAGTGGAAGTCCCAAGGGAGAAAAGATTCAGGCATGAATAAAATGATGGCCAATTTACTTTCGCGTGTGCGCTGTTTACCCAAGACATTAAACCATTAACGACGGTACTTTGGAGTCAGGCACCAAAATCATCCAAACGTGTGATACGTTCTGAGTCAGTAAATCGCAATCTAATTGTTCGTGTACCAATTGCCACATTTGCTCACACTGGTTAAAATGTTGGCATGTATGAAATCGCGCCATTTTTGTGTAATTGACTGTTCCGCCAGTATTAATTTATTTGGAGTGTGAATTCATGTTAATTGTCAATTCATGTGTTTTGTTTTGTCAACAAACAGCCCTGTCGAAGGGTAAAAACTGTCGATCCACAGCAGTCTATGGTTCGGGTCTAAGCGACTTCAAAGTGTCCTAACTAACACGACTTTGTTAAGAAAACAACAATCGTTGGTACAATACGTCTGCTGAAAAAGGAACAATCCGCAACCCTGTTAGCGCGAAAACGATCCATCGCCGTTTCTTTTTCTTTTTTTTAAGTTTTGAAGGATTTTGCTAAAATCTACCAGAGTGGTGGAAAGTGCTCAGCTGGGGTATTAACCTAAGTGGTAAATTTTGATTCCCGCCACTACCCTTTGGAAGCAAAAATGCAAAAAGGCGCCGAAGTCGGATTCGCGCTAACAGTGCCGCGCACTGTACACGTTCTCAGCAGCGAGGCCACCACAATGGCGGCTGACACGACGTCAGCGCGAGCCACACATACGCCGACGCACCGCTTGCAAACGGATCCACGCTTGTCCATACAAGGCGTGGGCACAGCGCGTGCGCAGAAACCAGATTCAAGTAGCATCTGCGCATGCGCCGTGCCTACTACAGCGCCGCCGCAGCCGCGTGACGTCAGGCGTGACGTCAGACCCGCCTGTGGGCGCACATGCATCTCACAAACCGCGCGCTTCCATCGCAAGGTTAGGCCGGGGGACTTTCCGTGCCGGTTCTTCGTAGCATTCGTCGGAGCGCTTTAAAAGACGCCCCCCATAAATCACCCCGGCACGCATAAAGCGGCGAACTGTCAGTCGGGCACGATACGCTTCCCGCGAACGACGCCAGCAGACACCAACAGCTGCATGTGACAGCCGAGGCAATACCACCCTAAAGGCAAGGCCTACGAGCCCTTTCCCCCTCTATACGTCATCAGTAGTGGGACGCCTATCTCGCGTCAGCGTCGCCACCAGCGCGTTTTGCAGCGTCTCACAAAGGGCGCGACGCTAGCAGACGGCGACTCCAAGACGGACGCGTCTGCCACTTTGCGTCGACACTCGCGGAGTTTCAGCGTGTTTCCCGCAAGGCACGGGTCGGGTGCCCACCGTTAATGACGTCACGCGCGCCGGCCTTGTCTTGTATCCGGTACTCGCCGAATGCCTACCTGCTTCTTCGACTACGGTCGCGACGCTCGTGGGCGAACGCAGATGGCTTTCGGACATGACGGCTTCCTGCGATCCGGCGGAGGCTGTCCTAGTGGACCATATGGCTGATGCCCTCTCCTCTTCTTCATGGTCGAACAGGGGTCGCCTGTCGTTCAGGAGTCTTGAAAGAACAATAGATTGGGATAAGGTTATCAGCTAAAGTTATATACACTGTGGGTAAAGAGAACAAAGCAGCTCCTCCGGCGCAAATGTTAACTCGAGCCAACAAGAAAAGAGCTTTGTCGCTCAAGTCGCTCAAGACCATCACAGCATCTGGCAGATGCGCAAGCATTTCAGCGGGAAGAACGTGTCTGCGCCGTTGACTAGCGCCAGGCCGCGGTAACACTGCTATTACGTCATACAGAAGACAGTCTGCCAACATTGTTTGAGCCGTGTTTCTTCCTTTTATGACGGTCATATTGATCATACAAAGAAAAAACTGCCTGCAGAGATGTTCGAAGCATGCTTATGTAGGAAGCAAATATGACTGGAAGTGCTTCGGGCCTGTCTGCGGATAATGTTGCCGTGATGTCTGCAACGAACACTGTCTGTTTCGCATAATGTATGAACAGTGTGAATGCGGCTCTAGGTTATAAACAAAATCATGAAGGAACGCAAGCAAAGCAGCTTCAGCGTACGGTAAATGCCAACTCAAGCCGACGAGAGATATCGGTCGCAGAAAGTCCTCAAAATATCCAGGAGATCGTGGATACTTCAGCGGAAAGAGCATGCATACACCGTCGGCAAGCGTCAGATTCGTTGATAAAGAACTTCAACGAAGTAAAACATCGATTCTCGAAAAAGGAATAAGAAAAATATTAGTGAGTTTTAGCATGTGAGGCCTCAACGCTTTGGTCCCCCCCCCCCCCCAGGCTTGTGACGTCACACTGCGCAGGGCAGAAATTCCGCGCAAGCGCAGTGCAACGCCCAAGCTCTCTGTCAGCGTCAATACAACAAAGATCAGTTCAAGCGCACCTGTTGCCGGCTGAAAACATACAATGACAGTCTCAACAGTGTACCTCCCGCTTTGACCTAGAAATGTCACAATAGGTACAGCGCACGCGCAAAGCCCCAACGGTTTCTTACGCTTATCTTTTCTTTTGGTTTCAGTCGCCGTTCGCGTACTTGAGTTTTTTCTTGTTGCCCCCGTCTTTTGTACTACCACGAAACAAAAAGACAACCTACTCTTTGATATCCAACAGTTCATTCCTGGCGTCCCGTTCGTCACGCGACGCACACCACGAATCCGAAAATGTCGACTCCCTACGAACCGGAAGCACCTTGCACAGCACCACCGGCTCTACATCCGGTTCGGAAGCCTGACGTAACACCATTCTGCCGCTGTGTTTGACCAGGAATGTCTTGATCCGTTTCATCCCTGCTTCGACGCCGGCTTGTCAGACGCAGACTCTCAACACTAGAGCTTAGCATTGCATGCGCACGCTCTGCGTAGACTCGCCGGAAAGGTTGCAGATGGTTCGCTTTCGGGCGCGTCGATTGCGGCGAAGAATACCGTCGCCTGATCTGGCTCAGTGACGTCGAGCGGATGAGGGAAAGGAGAAAAGATGGGGGTGCAGAAAAGGGCAGCTGCGGCCTCTGGCGACGCAGCTGGGGTACGGCGGCCGACGTTCGAGGAACGTTATGGTTTTGTTTACTCGTCCGCGGTACATCTGTGAAGCCGCGCAGAAAGTTATGTGATCGTAATGCATCCGCAGAGCGAAAGTCTGCCGCAGCCCCGCCCCGCGTTTGAGCGAAAGGTTGCACCTAACGGGCTCCAGTGGAAGTTCGCGCGCGTTTGCGTCCGAAGACCACCGAACGTGTACGCCAGTGTTGCGGAATGGGCACCCCCATTCCATTCCAATTCCATTCCGGGGAATTAGAGTTTTCGATAATTCCATTCCTTTCAACTCCTAGGAATGGGGACACTGGGCCCATTCCCACTCCTGGAATGGCTGAGTCGCTCCATTCCATTCCTCCAATTCCTAAACGTTAAAAGTGTCACTTGACAGCTGCATTACGTTGCAGGGTTGGGCAGAAATATTCAGAAATGTATTTGGAAATACAAATACTGGGATAGATGAAAATAGTTGCTGAGATACTGATACTCAAGTCTCAAATATATCTATAAAAATGTACCGTGATACGTATCGGAAATATATTTTAAAAAGAGGAAAAAAGTCTTTGGAAATACAAATACAAGAATACATTTTAGGGAGGGCAGAAATATAAATACTGATAATACAATACATTTATCAAATTTCTTTGAGACGCCAACTGAGATGAGGCTTTAAGTTTGAAGTGGAAGTTTCTTTTTTTTTTTTTTTTTTGGTTCCGAAATTACTTTTCCGCAGGCTTGGCACTTCGCCTTGAAGGTAGTGGTTCCGGACAAAGAGTCCTAAATGGGTTTAAAAAACGTTCCATCAAGGATTGACCGCGGTACCTTCCCTGGCATCCTGTCTGACTCACCAGTGATGCGAAAAGTCTTCGATCTCTAAACTAAATTCCATCAAAAAATCACCACTTCCCTGTCCAATAAGGGCATCCCCTGTCAGCACTGATCACATGACGTCACGGTTGAATGAACTAGTATTCTTGTATCTGTAGGTGTTGCCTTGAACATGAAACTTTACCCACGCTGCTGTATGAAAGGACAATGCATACTTTCGTTGTATCTGACCTCGTTGAAGACCATGCAGGCAGTTGCATTTGGAATTTTAGAGAAAAGTGGACCACCTGAAGCACATGTATTATCTTCTGTTACGGTTGAAAAATCGATACGGTGGCATCCCTGTTGTGACGGTCCTTCCTGCCGACTCTCCGCCTCCAACGCATGAATGGCAGTCTTCAAGTTTCGCCTAGCATCATTCAAACAGGGACCTCGTGGATTGCGACCTGAGATGGCCGGCACAGGTGCGAGCTCTTCGAGAAACAGCGCGCTCGAGACGAGTCGAAAGTGTACGAAGTCTGGGTCCGCACAGCGAGGCCACGTCTGGCCTCCTTCCTGGGTATCGGATCACCAGAGCAGCAAGTCACGTTCACGTCGGCTGATGGCGTACCAGCCGTGCAATATTACAGGCGCAGACGCATTCGGATATGTGTTGAACTTCACTAGTGAAAGCCGCCACCGCCGCCCCCCCCCCCCCCCCTCCCATCCCCCTCTGTTCGTTGCTTTGACGCTTGTTTTTTGTATTGCATTTTTTTCTTTTGTGCATACGTCTGCTAGGGCCTTACGCGGGTTCGCAGTTTCCCGTTCATTTTATTTCTGAACAACCGACTCCCTGACTGGCTCGGTATAGCTGAACGTAAAAAATAAATAAATAAATAAATAAAATATAAAGAACCTGGCCCCACTCCATTCCCATTCCGGGCAAACGGCATCTAATTCCATTCCCATTCCATTCCCCTGAACGTTGCCGCCATTCCACTCCCATTCCATTCCGGGGTCACGAAAATGCGGAATGATTCCGGAATCATTCCAACTCCGGAGTGGCAACTCAGCAACACTGGTGTACGCGAACGGAACGGTTTACGTGGTTGTAACCGCTTTTGCCGCTTAGACGGCATTCGACTCCGGTTACCGAAGAGTTTTGGCTTCGAGCGTGTTTGCAGACAGTGTTTGTGCGAGGACCGTCGCATAAGAAAGAAGCATGCCTCAGACACTGCATACAGACTGTCTTCTGCATGATGCAATAGCATTGTGACCGCGTCGTAAGAAATCTAGTGCAAACACGACGACAAAGCAGTTCGGAGAGCCAATCGCTGCTGTCTACGAAGGAAACTTGGCGGGTGAAGAGACTTAAAATTAAATTTAGACTTCAAAAAAAAAAAAATCAACTGCGCTGTGACATTGAAACACGTAAGCACATGAAACGTCATACTTAGTGTCATAGCATAAACTTTTTTTTTTGAATGGGAAAGCATTAATTGTTCCCCGGAGCGAACCGACGTCATCAGCTCTTGAAGCCGCGCCAAACGGCACCTTCCCCTGTCCCAGTGGAGCGAAGCCTGTCGTCTGTAGCAGAAATCTGATGGACAGGCTCCCATTGGCTGGCGTGCGTCATAGTTTCAAGGAACGAGGCTCCCATTGGCTCCCGCGCGGTATAGTTCCAAGGAACGCCACCAGAGAAGCCCTCTTCCATGGCGGCGCAGCGCACGCAGCGGCCCGGCCGCCGGTGAGTGGTGCGAATCTGGCCGCAGAGCCCGCACGGGCAAACTCCGGAGACGCTGCACGGCCGAGCTCAGCGCGGCGCGGCCACTTCACAAAAGCGCGCGCTTGGCCGTCGGCCGCTACCTTGGCCAACGGCCAAGGCCAGCGCCATCTAGACGCTGTGCTTTGAAACATACGTATTCCATAGAATACACTACTGTTACCGTGGCAGCCGTTCCCAAAAAAAGCTGTGGCGCTTCAAACGACTGCACTCTAAAAAATGTCTGTGCGTCTACTTTCACGCGCAACACTCGGAGAGCCAATCAGCGCAGCTTACGGAGGCAGCTCAGCGAATGACGATGCGGAAACATATGTTTAGACCAAAAAACGCAGTCCGAGTTGTGACATTAAGCAATGCAAAACGTCACGCTTGCATAGCTTAATGTCACAACTCAGTCTGCGTTTTTTTGGTCTAAACATATGTTTCAGCATTGCCATTCGCTGAGCTGCCTCCATAAGCTGCGCTGATTGGCTCTCCGAGTGTTGTGCGTGAAAGTAGACGCACAGACATTTTTTAGAGTGTGGAGGCCAGCATCGGTGGTGAGAGGAGAGGGTGTTGTTCGTGCAAGCATCGTCTACGGGTAGTTCCGCAACTGAGCTAATATAGTAACGTTTGCTGAGAGCTTAAGAAACGAGGAGCGGGGCTTCGTGCAATCGTGCTTCTCGCTTCGGAATTAGTCCTACCGCGTTTTTCTCGGCATGTCGTTGGAGGGTGAAGAAGTACACGTGTCTTTCTCCTCTCTTTGTCGCGCGCATGCATAGGTCGCGAGAGACGATGCGCTCACTGAATGTGCCGCAGTCTTCGCACTTCCTCTCAAAAAGAAGGAGCAAACCCAAGGGGAGACAACTGAACAGAAGCAGCGACGTGCTGAGCATGAGAGTGCTCGACGTGACCAAGAGGCGCCGGAGAAAAGAGAAAGAGAGTGAAGTTTGGTCAGTCATGCGACATTATAATAACATTAGTACTTTTTTTTTTTTTTTTTGCATCGGAGCTGTCAAGGGCTAGTTTTTCCAGGATCGTGTCCCCCGCAAAGAAATGAAGCACCAAACTCTGGACACCTACTGCCATCTATGAGCGACGGCGGCACCCCACGTATCTGGTTGCCGCCGTCGCTCATAGATGGCGGCAGCCTTTCCACTCTGGCTTGCAGACTTGCGGCCGGTCATTACTTTCCATTGTACAGCTCCGCTGGTCTTCCTTCTTCACCAGAGTAAAAAAGCTGAAAGTATTTCTTTTATTTTTTTTTTTTTTTTTGGGGGGGGGGGACTGTTAACACGTAACGCAGTATCTTTCCGAAATGTTACTTGTAACTGTTACTTTTTCTGAAGTAACAACGAGAGTGACGACGTTATTTCTTCGTTACTTTACGCAGTTTCTTCGGCATTAAAGGGGTCATGAAACGATATCGGGTTGAAATGCTCACGACTTTGCAGATGCGTACTGGTCCTAGTCTGGCCCAAGTAGACCCCCACGTACCGCCACTGATTCAGAAGCTTCTTGGTCGCGGTGAAATTGCGAGGATAAAAGGGGACTCTTTCTTACAGTCTTGGCTTCGCAAAGCGATCGAAACCGCCCGCCTGACGCCAGTCGAGCGCGGCTCGTGGGTTGGACACAAGAACTGCGTGAGCACTCGACTTCGGCTCGTAACAATCGATGCCTCGGCGGACATTCGGGTAGTGGCTCTTGTCGAACCACTTGTTGGACACGAGCCGATACCTTAAACGTAGAGCTTATCCGGTGTCTCTATCTAGTACAGCCCTTACTGGTAATATATACATTTTAACAAATCTGCTAGAGATATACTAACCTTCTGCAGGGCTGTGTGGGCAAAAACACCGGGCTGTCCAGGTAGTCTGAGAGAAATGACTCTCGCCTTGCCTGCTGGGAGGGGAGACAATCGTTTCATCGCGGTTAGTGTCGCTCCCGCTGCTTAGTAAAAATGCGACAATTCCTAGACCAAAAGTGCTTCCGAGAAACATCGGTTTTCAAAAAGTTTTCCAGCTGTGAAGGCGGGCGCGCAGTCCACGGTTCTTTGGTGTACAAAACATCTGGTGATATAAAGAGTTGTCTGTCCCTGTGGCATGTCCCAAAGGCGTTCTGAATACACCGACTTCATAGGACTTCCTTTCGCTCCTGGTTTTGCGGGCACAGTATAACTTGTAAACCGTAGTCTTTCCGGTTTTAACAGCAACAAAAAAAAAACACCCATAAACGTCCCACAGTGTCAAAAATGCAAATTTGTCAAAACTGAGAAACACCGATAAACGACCGTCGGCGCCAAAAATAAAGAAATGATTAAAACCGAAAAACATCGGTTTCCGTAAATTTTTTCTCCAGCTAGGACTTTTTGACAAAACCCGCACCTGATAGACTCTAAAGACCCGTTCACACTCTTGCGACCGACTTCGACCGAGAGAGACCAGACCGGTTTTTAAGCCCCTTACGATCTCTTAGGACCAGCTCCGCTGTAGCGCATCCGGTCCTAAGAAGTTGTAAAAGGCTTAAAAACCGGTCTGGTCTCTCTCGGTCGAAGTCAGTCGCAAGAGTGTGAACGGGCCTTAAGTTTCTCCTAAGACCTTTTTTTTTCGCTGATAACCACTGTTTTTAGCGTTCGACTGAAATAGATAACCAAAATACGCCGATATTTGAACAACAAATAAACGCGGAAACCTATTCGCCAATCTCCCTTATAAATAGACAAGGCGAGGGTTGTGAGAATACATGTATCAAGCCAACACAGTTTCGCGTGACGTAATGATGCCACTTGACGTGACATGACACCCTGAGCGATCGCCAATATGTGTTCACTTTCTTTTGTCACAGCGGTTTCCTTCTCAAGAACCATGTAGTCCATACATTTTAATTTATTTGAAGTGAAATAAATTGAAGTGAATTGAATTGAAATGCTTTTTTTAACACTACTATGCGAGGCACTAACCCAGTCGGCCAAATTTTGTCTTGGACGTTAGCCTGTATCGGTACTGAACTTCAAAAGAGCGCCGATGTCGCGTTTGCGCCAACTACGTCGCTCAGTGCACAAAAGCATGTCGGCCAAAAGTGTTCTGTGTAGCTACAAAGCCGGTGGCATCATCAATATGGCAGAAGCTGTGGCACCCTTACGCAACATAAACTGTCGAGGGACATAGCGTAACACATTAAAGTAATAAACAGCTCCGTGTCCCGGGTTACTTCTTTCCAATTGTTAACGAGACACCCATTGCGCGTCTTTTTGATATTATTACGGTCACCGACATTTTTAGAAACGCAGGGGCGTGGCATGCCCCAGGAATCCTGTTGTCGCTTTGCAACCAATCAAAAATTGCGGTATTAGCAGACGGGAATGCCGACCAACCAATCACAAAATTTGGAGGTAATTGGCCACGCCCCCGCGTCTCTAAATTCATCAGTGACCATGGTATCGCTATTATTACGTAAAAACAATCTTCGAGAAAATGCGTGCAGTGCACCCGAGATTATTTACGCCATCGTCTGCGGTCTCACCATTAATAGTTTAACCAAATACTTTACCAGGGGAATAGGTCTTACTCCGCGAGAGTTCAATAGCCTTGGAGCTGGCAGCTTTTGCGTAGTTGGAACGGCTGGACGCGCGCAGCCTCGGCAATTTTCCACCATTCGAATCGGGAGGGGTGGCTGCCGCCATCTGCCGTCGTGGGCAGCCTTCGAGACAGCGGAGACAGCCGTCTCTGCTGTCTCGGCGGGTTCGGTATGTCGGTGCGTCGGCGGCAGCCCTCACCTTCGGCGCAGTACAAAAGCAAGACAGTGTGGACAGCGCGATGCGCGTGCGTTCTCTTAAACGCAAGCTGTCCTCACCGCAAGGGGAGGGTTAGGTGCTGTAGGTGTGCTGTGTAACAGAATTAACCGGAGTAGACTGTATTCTCCTAGTGAAGTACAGGGTTCTAACTCCCCGTCTCATTCTTTTTCTTTCTTTTCTAAGGAACACAGTGGTCATTACTTCTGGGGGTTTGTTCTTTTCGGCCTTCTCGAGCACGGTCCTCAGGATGTCGTTGGTGTCCTGGAGCTTTCTATTCGCTTCCCTGCATAAAAAAAGATGCGAATCACACTTAGTATTTAAGTCCTTGGTCGAAGCGAGCAGCCTTCAAATGGCGTTCGCAGTTTCGTGTGAGCGCGCACATCACTCTACTACACCCCTATGATACAATCCATATACACAAGGCCCACTGTAAGGTCGAAAGCGACTCATGCCAGCTGTGCATTGTGTAACGTTGATCACGGGGTGTGGTCGGTGTACGAGTACACCCTCTCGTGAATGTACGTACTCGTACATTGAATTCTGCGGCAGCGCCGCGTCAAACGAAAGATTTTGACTTTGCTGAAAGCAGCCTTAACTGGAGAATCGTATTTTAAGGAAAGGCAGGAACGAAGTACAAGAAACAATCACAACAGCCAGATGGTTGACTCAGATGTTATTAACATTTATCTTTCTCATTGATTGACTTGGACTGTATCAATTCGAACTTGAAAGAACATAAAGCAATTCCTAACCACTCAATTCCTTGGCCAATCCTCAATGAACAACAAGAGCGGGCTACTGCCGCGAACAGTCGGCTAAATATAGTACCGTGAGCAAGGTGGAAGAAGAGCGGGCTGTCCAAACGGCACCGCCTCACCGCGGACCAAGTGTGTCGGAGATTGGCCCTCATTTCTGACCAACGCCGTGAGATGGCGCAGCACGACAGGGGCTCCCGAAGAACCCTTCTTATTCACGCACGCGCCTTCAAGGCCACGAAGCGCATGCACGACCGCGTCCACGCCTGCGCGCCGGGCCCCAACTTGACAGTGCCCATGGCGAGACATGCGCGAACTTCCAGTAGAATTTCGACACCTCTTTCTGGCCTTGTTCCGGCACCTCTCTTTCCTACAGTGATTGTGATATTGAACGAAGTTTTAAGTCACGCATTTCAGATCATACCTCTTAAGGCCCGTTCACACAGTTGCGTTCGGAGCGACCACTACGCTTACGAACGAATGCAACCGGTTGAAGCGACAAGTTACCATAGCAACGAAGCGCCAAACGGTCGTTTCGTTCGTGTTCGTTCGCAACGCAAGGAGTTGAGCCGGGCTGAACTTTTTCGTTACGTTCGGGAACGACGGGAGCGACAGACCAATCACAGGTTGAGGAGCTCGGTCGCGCGCGTTGCATGCCGGTCGTTCCAGGCTCCTTCTATTTGCAAACATGGCGTCGGTGGTGATCGTCGGCAGGACGGTGTGGTGAAGGCTCATCGTTCCCCGTAAAAGGGCTATCCTTGACTGTGAATTTTCGTCGTGTGTCGTTAGGATAACCCAGCACGTACTAGAAGGGAAGATCCACCTACTTGTGCGGCGATCTCGTGGCGGCACTCTCAAGACAGCAGAAACGCCCGTGCCGTCGTGTTTCTTTACTTCGACTACAGTGGTGCTTTCTTAGCATTTGTGTCCTCAAACATCACCCGGATTTCTTTTTTGGCGCATTCCTTGCGTGTGCTCAAGTTCAAGGTATTACTGGTGCGTACCGTACAAAGGATGCGAGTTTTTTACTCGTTTTCATCGCCCGAAAAAGGTGATTAGTGTTAGCAATCCTGAACGCTCGCATCGTCTGTCAAATTATATTTCTACATTGCTATATCGTTGCTAAGATTACATCGTGTATTATAATCGTAAAAAAGGCGTGTGGCGAGATTTGTACTGTTGGCAAAGTCGTGTATTAAAGTCGTGATCGTCCAAGACGGCGTACTGCATCTTTTTCTTTTTTCAATACACTACCCTGCAAGCGTATCCTGAAATAAAGAGTAATAAAGCTTGAGGTCATAGTAGACGGTCTGTCTATTTTATGTTACGCAAGTGAGTGGCAGCGCGTCCCCTTCTTTTTGGAGGCACCGCTGAAACAGCTGACGGCAACGGAGAGGCGGTCGCCGTGCTGCCGACCCGCTGCGCTTGTTGCAGTGGTAGCAGGAGTGTACGCGCGGCGCAGAGCGATCGTTCCGGTCGCTCTGGTCACAACGGACGCAGTCGCGGATAACGGGTTCGTTTTAGATGTCTGAACCAGCCTTTACACAGCTATTGTAGGCGCACAGCAGATCTTCGTGACTGTACGCCGTAGCCGAACCCTCGGGCTGCTCCGGTGAGGACCCCGCTACCCCGCGTGGGGCACGAAACCGTCCGCCATGTTTGTAAGCGTAGCTGGGTCGCTTCCTATTATTGGCTAGGAGCAAGAGCTGAAGCTCGTTTCTCATTGGCTGTTGTTTCGTATGGTTGCATGCGGTTGCATGTGTGTGTACACGTCGCGCACAGTTGTCGTTGAAGTCGCAGCGGTTGCATTCGTTCGTAAGCATAGTGGTCGCTCCGAACGCAAATGTGTGAACGGGCCTTTAGCGTGCAAGTGGGCGAATGTCGCGGCTTCTAGCGCCAACCTACCTTTCAGCCGGTGCCAACACAAAACACTCAGACACCAGATCTCCTTGGCTGCAGCCAAGCCCCTTGCTGAGCCAACAATACCTAGCACGATGGAGGCCTGTGCAATTAAGTTTTTGACGTCATCGGAGCGAGATCAACCGTCGGCAAAGGTTGAACGCGAGTGCTGCATCGGCGTTCTGCTGGGTCTCGTGCGCAATCAAGGCGTCGAAGGATGCTCGGCATCGGGCTAATTTGCTGCGTCATCCTAAGGTAATGACGTCACGTGGGGACAGAGGAGGCTGTTCACAGGCTTAGATTTCCAGCTCGTTGCTCGCCCTCTCGTGGCGGAAACGGGAAACTCTCTAGTGAGGGTCCCCCGGTTCTCCTGCTCAGCGGGCACGGCGGAACTGCTTGCGATCATGGCTCCCGAAAACACTCCTCATTGTCCCAATGTAGTGCTCCAGCCGGTATGGGATTGTACCTTACTGGAAAGGTTTAATATTTGCGTATAGACGCTCTGCAGCAGCTGTGCATGGGCGCCGCCATAACCGACCTTCAGTTTTTGTTTCCTCTTATTCCGTTTTCTTCACTTCATCACTACCACAGCAGGACAGGTTATTGCCACTTTTAGTGCTACAGCGTCTTTCCCTTCATCATAGGTCTCCGTGGAGGCTCGTAATCGCCCGCCTCAGGGGCTCGACCTCTCGGTAAGACGAGAGTAGCTCGTCTTACCGAGATCTAATTTATGTAATTCATGTAATTTTACATGAATTTCTCAGATTTGCTAGAACATTTTCGATGCTTTGAGACTATTCTTTTTATAACTCGTTAATTAAAAGTGCTGCAACCGGCACCAGTGATGATAATTTGCACACTCTTGATTGCCATACTTTTTCGCGCGTTTGTAATTATTAAACCATAAGCAAAAAACATTATATTACAGTTTGAAAAACTATATATTAAAATACCCTAATTCTATTTTTTACTATTATTAACACGAATTGCGGCAATGTAGGCCCCCAATAAACGCCACGATCACGAAAGTATGCCATTTAACCATAATAGTCTTCCCAGAAGGACGTATCATTCTGTTTTCTTTTTTTAGATTATGAAAAACGCTGACATCGTTATCAAGATGGACAAACAGTTAAACACTAGATGTACCGCAAGGGTCTGTTTTGGGTCCATTGTTGTTTTTAATACTTGTTAATGATATTAATGACGGTGTGAATTCACAGGCACGATTGTTTGCAGATGATTGTGTTGTTTATAGACCAACACATGGCCCTGACGTCAGGCAGCTGCGGTGGCGCTGTCGACGGCACTGCGCATGCGCAGACGCTTCACTTCAAGCGAATTCGGTTTCTGCCCAGGCGCAGTGCCCACACCTGGTGTGGGCAAGCGCGGGCTTGTTTGGAAACAGGCTGTTGGTCTATACATGCATAACAGACGATGTTGAAATAACCTGAGACTGGGGTAGAGAGGAAGCATCAAATCGTAGAAGGGACAGAAAATAGACAGGACGACGTCTCAAACTCAGCTAACTTCATTTATTTTGTCCACCTCCTTATATAGTCCCAAACTCAAGGTCATCTCCACCAACACCTTGAGTTTGGGACTTTGAGTTTGGGACTATATAAGGAGGTGGACAAAATAAATGAAGTTAGCTGAGTTTGAGACGTCGTCCTGTCCATTTTCTGTCCCTCCTACGATTTGATGCTTCTTCTCTACCCCAGTCTCAGGTTATTTCAACATGGTTAATATTCACCAGCTCGCCTGCACCCTTACGATTTTTTCTAAGAACAGACGAGGGGAGTTCCACGCGGCTGCAGGTGATCTGAATCGAATAGAGCAATGGTGTAAAAAGTGGAAGATGAAGTTAAACGTTAAAAAAATGTGTCCATGTTAGATTTACCCGAAAAACCGAAACAAAAGTTGAAATATGTTACGAACTCAATAATGAAATCGTAACAAAAAAGCAAACAGTTAAATATCTTGGCGTCATCTGTCAGCTGACTGCACCTGGAACGCACACATTAACGACGTTGTTATGATAAAACTGGCATTAATAGCTTATTTTACTTATTACCACCAAATTATATCTCAAAAAGAAAAGACCACATTCATAAGATTAGAAAATATCGCACCAGGACGGAATCGGGCGAAAATTCTTTTTTTTTTTGTTAAAACAATTAAGGAGTGGAATGCCTTGCCCAGTGCGATTGTGTAAACCGCAAATTCAGAAATGTTTTTTTTTTTCTTTTTTTTAGTTTATTTGTTTCCTTCGATAATACCTGATGGCGCTGCAGATCAATGATGAATAAAAATAAAAGGTAAAGACCTATGCTGTCTGACTAGGACTCCATCTTTGTGTTTTTGTAACGATAACAGCGTTTTTAATTTATGCGTTTTCTGAACATATTCTAAACTCATTACCCGTGGCGATATTTTGTAAAATTTGGATTATGTTAATATTGTGCTGGCAGTAATGCTAAAGCAAGTAACCATATAAACACGCAAAAATACCATTACCGGGCCCGCAATTTATCATTTCACACGACAATTATCCGAGCGAGGAAAGGCAGCGAGAACACGCAAATGTTTACAGTGATTTTTTCAACAAATACAATATTCTACGTTACCTCTAAGGTGTATAAGACCATCTCTTTAAAGAGACACAGAACTCTCTAAAATATTTCGAAATGCCTGTATCGGATGCGTATGTCACAAAATAAAGTTTCCACGAACAACTTCTTTAGCTCAATAATTACGCTGTGAGACACATCTTCAGTTATAAACGAATCCGATATTAACACGTATACCGTGAAATTAAATCCAAAATAGATGTTAGTTTCAGTTTCGCTCTAAAATTAAAACGTGCGTCGTGGCGCAAATACTACGCTAAACACCGTTCTTGTTTTCAGGATTAAAAGGTGACCTGCGCTCATAACACCCGCTTCCTCATATAAGCAGGAATAATTTATGTCGCTCAGTGAAGCCGGCACACTCAACAGGCTCAGCAACTGGTATACCCGGCATGCATCTCCAACCCTCACTATAACCGCCATCTTGGAAAACGAGTGGCGCCACCTATACTGAATTAGAGTCGCGAATACTACGTTTACCCTTAATTAAGCTGAAACTGCAGCCAAAACGACTAGCGCGAGCTAGCCCGCGCTCCTGGCTTCGCGACATGCATTTCTAGCGCGAGCGCTCGTTCTGAGGAAGAACGCTTCAAAGCAGCGACCTCGATCTTGCGTGCTTGTGGCATTAGTTGCAGCCTCAGCTAAAAGTTGAACGTTTGTACTGAGAGAGTTTGGCCAATGGGCGGAGCTTGTTGCCCGCTAGGAACAGCGGATTTCGCGATAACACAAGATGGCGTTACTTTTTTGTCTCGTTTATTCCTGAGAAATCGCGTAGAGTTCCTATGAATCAGAGCCACAAAATGGCGGATGGAAGTTGTCATCTTCCGGTTGACAGACTACGCTGCTGTGGTTGCCAGGCTGTCAAAATCTCCTTAAGAAGGCCAAACCCTATCAGTATAAACGGCTCCGGACGAGACGTTTCAGTGGCACCTTCTTATGGTTCCTACTAATGACGTCGCGACTAAGACTATTAGTAGCGATCGACAAGTTCGATGGCGCCTAAAAAGCTCTGTGGAAGCCTAGTCGTCACGTTCCTAAATCAACCCCGTCAAAGTCGGCAGTCTGACTTGGCTCTTATTTACGTCGATGAAAGCAGACATAATCCTACTAAAGACGTCATAGTAATGGTTCGACCAATCGTGGAAGGCCGATCACAGCGACGCTCTTGGTCGCTCACGTCGTCAATAAGCAGACGTGTTTCCAAACGTTCAAGATCTAAAGATGGCCAGTGAAAGCTTCACGTAAACTGAGCACTATTCTGTGACAGGCACGAAGGGCCAGGGGACCGGTGGTCTAGTCTGTTTTTCGCACCGGAGCTAGGAGGGGTACATGGGGCGAAAGCTCGCGCTGCGGAACCCAGGCCAGCCTGGGTTCCATTCCCGCCCCTGCCCGTCTCGGTCTGAATGAGCATCGTGCTGGTATCCGATCATGGAAAGCTACTGCGCGATACACGTTAAAGGCCCCAGGATATCACTAGCTGAATTTCTCATCAATACCGGAGTTATCAGACCGCGCGCGACAGATTGCGAGCTGATTCGCCAATCACACAAATGTCATTCGTTGTAAACGGCATTCGAGTTGCCCGTGGGGCACGGGTATACACCGACACGCGGGTTTGACGTCACGGAGCTGCGGCGGCGCTGCGATCGCGCCGGAGCCGGGGGGTGTGGGCAAAAGCGCGCACGTTTCGCATGGGCGTCATAGCATTTCACCATGTAGCGAAGCTGTGTTGTCGTTAATTGCACCGAAATGTACAAGAAAAGCAGCGGAGTGAGTTTCCACAAGTTCCCGGCAGACTCTGAAAGGCATAGAAGGTGGATAATATCCGTGGATCGAAAAGAATGGTCGCCTCGCGCGAACGACCGTTTGTGCGGCAAACACTTTCTTGGAGGCAAGTGCGGCTTCCATTTCAATCTCCGTCGCGAGGCTTGCTTATGTGCAGGGAAACCGTCGTCTGATCAAGACCACCCGGATTTTGTTCCCACGGTGTTCGCGCACAACGCACCGGCCAAGCGCTCGTCGGAAGCTCGCTACGCCCGTGCTACCGAGCAGAAGGGGATCGGCGACAGAACGGCAGAGTTGTAGGCGTTACCGAAAAAAAGTAACGAAATACGTCACTCGTTACTTGCAAATAAAAGGTACGCGTTACTGAGCTACGTTACCTAAATATAAAAGAAACGCGTTACCGCTACCGATGAAAAGTAAGGCACGTTACTTCTGCGTTCCTTTTTTAAATTATGATTTAACACATTTTACGGTTTTGACGATACAGGTCATATATCAAGCAGAAGCTGAACATAAATACTTTATCTCTTTTTACGGTTTCATCTAAATACTTACGAGAAAAATCACAAAGAAAACATGGCTTCACGCCTAAAACACGGATACAATTGAAGTGCGATTTCTTTAAGACATGGGAAGTAGTAACGACTAACGTAACTACGTTATTTGAAATAGTAGCATAAGTACGTTACCCGTTACTGTGTCAAAAACGTAGCGAGTAGGGAACTACGTTACTGAAAAAAGTAACGCGTTCCTGGTAACGCCGTTACTTTTAACCTGTTACCGCCAAGACTGCAGAACGGACAAACCTTTACTGGTTGTAATGCCTTGTGGTCACGAGGGTATGAAAAATATCATACCTTGACTTGAAGACGCTCTGTGTATTTAATCAATTAATGAATACACACACTTCCGCAGACCCACAGTCTGCTGATCCCGCCGGCAGTGCGGAAACCGACTCGATGTAATCGTAGGCCTTGAGAGACTTGTAGGCCTGCACCCTGTCGGCCGTGAACTGACTTGGCGAAAACTAAATAAACGACTACCTGAGCCGTCGACTTCCGTGGCAGCAACTTTACGTCGGAAGTCCAACACCTAGGCCTTGTTTACGGCGTACGGATCCTCGTAGGCAACGCCGTCCACGCACAGTTTGTTTCGATACCGCTGCCGTTCAGGCTCGGGCAACGAGCTCAAATAGTCGGGCATAGCATACGACATACGTTGTGGGGAAATACGACGCACAAATAAAGATACAAGCGTCCCTGCAACGTCAACAACGAGCGCACGCCATAGAGCGCAATGGCGAAAACACGGAGAGCCGGGATGCTTTTGCCCACATAGCTACCGCGCATGCGCGGCCTTCCGGCCGTGTTGGTAAACAGAGCCGCTCCGCGTGTCGGTCTATAGACCGACACGCGGAGCGGCTCTGTTTACCAACACGGCCGGAAGGCCGCGCATGCGCGGTAGCTATGTGGGCAAAAGCAGCCCGGCTGTCCGTGTTTTCGCCATTGCGCTCTAGGGCGTGCGCTCGTTGTTGACGTTGTAGGGACGCTTGTATCTTTATTTGTGCGTCGTATTTCCTCATAACGTATGTCGTATGCTATGCCCGACTATTTGAGCTCGTTGCCCGAGCCTGAACGGTAGCGGTATCGAAACAAACTGTGCGTGGACGGCGTTGCCTACGAGGATTCGTACGGAGTAAACAAGGCCTGCTGGACTTCCGACGTAAAGTTGCTGCCACGGAAGTCAACGGCTCAGGTCGTCGTTTATTCAGTTTTTTTCGCCAAGCCAGTTCACGGCCGACACGGTGCAGGCGTACAAGTGTCCCGAGGTCTACGATTACATCGAGTCGGTTTCCGCACTGCCGGCGGGATCAGCAGACTGTGGGTCTGCGGAAGTGTGTGTATTCATTAATTGATTAAATACACAGAGCGTCTTCAAGTCAAGGTATGATATTTTTCATACCCTCTTGACCACAAGGCATTACAACCAATAAAGGTTTGTCCGTTCTGCAGTCTTGACGGTAACAGGTTACAAGTAACGGCGTTACTAGGAACGCGTTACTTTTTTTAGTAACGTAGTAACCTATCCGTTACGTTTTCGGCACAGTAACGGGTAACGTACTTATGTTACTATTTCAAGTAACGTAGTTACGTTAATCGTTACTACTTCCCAAGTCTTAAAGAAATTACACTTCAATTGTTTCCGTGTTTCAGGCGTCAAGCCATGTTTTTCTTTGCGTTTTTTCTCGTAAGTATTTAGGTGAAACCGTGAAAAGAGCTAAAGTAATTATGTTCAGTTTCTGCATGAACTTAATGTTTCTTGATATATGACCTGTATCGTCAAAACCGTTAAATGTGTTACATCATAATTTTAAAAAAGTAACGCAGAAGTAACGTGCCTTACTTTTTATCGGTAGCGGCAACGCGTCCTTTTATTTTTAGATAACGTAGCTCAGTAACGCGTACCTTTTATTTGCAAGTAGCGAGTAACGTATTTCGTTACTTTTTTTTTGGTAACGCCTACAACACTGCCGTTCTGTCGTCGATCCCCTTCTGCTCGGTAGCACGGGCGTAGCGAGCCTCCGACGAGCGCTTGGGGGGTGCCCGGGTGCGTTGTGCGTGAACACCGTGGAAACAAAATCCGGGTGGTCTCGATCAGACAACGGTTTCCCTGGACATATGCAAGCCTCGGGACGGAGATTGAAATGGAAGCCGCACTTGCCTCCAAGAAAGTGTTTGCCGCACAAACGGTCGTTCGCGCGAGGCGACCATTCTTTTCAATCCACAGATATTATCCACCTTCTATGCGTTTCAGAGTCTGCCGGGAACTTGTGGAAACTCACTCCGCTGCTTTTCTTGTACATTTCGGTGCAATTGACGGCAACACAGCTTCGCGGCATGCTGAAATGCTATGACGCCCATGCGAAACGTGCGCGCTTTTGCCCACACCCCCGGGCTCCGGCGCGATCGCAGCGCCGCCGCAGCTCCGTGACGTCAAGCCCGCGTGTCGGTGTATAACCTCCGGCCGCCTAAAGATAGATACAAGCAACGCAATTACTTTTAGCGTGGTCACGGGGAAATCGGTTAAAAATCTTACTGTAGGTGTTGAAGTTGCTTGCTGGCGAAGCCTTGCTCTTGCAGCACGCCCATGATTCTTTCACGTTCGCTGCACGGAAAGTTAAATAAAAAAAGATCGAATGTGTTATAGATACGGATCCTAGAGCGAAGGAGCGTGTCCCGACAGATCCGACATCGATGCGTTTTATCTTCTATATCCCCATAACATGATGCCTAAACAATTGGCAAACCCCATAACATGATGTTATATTATGCCTAAACAATTGGCAAAGGTACTCTCAGGCAGAAAACAACTTGAAAGAAACACATTGTAAGCATCAAAGTTGAAACCGACGTTTCGTCGAGAAACTTATACCCCATTCACACGCTCATCATAAAGGTACCTGTGAGAATCGGTTCTGCCATCACCGTGAATGGACGCGGGAATGAGACTGAGTTTCGTTTTTTTTTCTGTGCGTGTTTGCGTTTGCACGTGTGCCCCTGTGTGTGGGTGCACTGGCGGCGCTCGTGCGGGCTGGCGCGGGGGACATCGGAGAAGAAAAGAGGAAGACGAGGAGGACAGCACGTGGTGTGACCTTTTGCAGGGGTTCGGAAATTAGCTTCGCTTGTAAATAGACCTGTTTTTTTTTCTTCGCCCTATCCGCGGAGTCCTGTCTGGTTTACTCTTCCGTCAGCGACCATCAGCTGCCTCCGTCGTCGGGTCCCAGCGCAATCTCGAAGAAAGAACATCATTAATGTACCTTTAACACAGGTCCCTTAGCTATCGGCGAATCAGCCCGTGCCCTTGGGTCCCGAGCACACGCCACGCGCGGAAGATCATTAATTCATTGGCCGGAGAGAATAAAGGTCCCTTAGCAAAAGGTATGTATACCTTTTACGGTCGTGTGAATGGGGTATGAAGCTCTTCAGATAAATCTCGTAGAAAACTTTTTCTGTAAAGGCCCGTTCACACTCTTGCGACCGAGTACGACGGAGAGACGAGATCTCTTACAACTTCTTAAATGTTTCTATACTTCGTTTCACCTTATGTGCGAGCGAAGGCAAAACTGGAAGCGCGAGCACGGAAGCTCCGTGCGTTCAGGCTTTGCTCGAGCGCGCGAGCTGGGGAGAAATGCAAAAAGAGCTGGTCTCGCGCTTCTAGCTTTGGCTTCGCTCGCAGATAAAGTGAAACGAAGTATAGAATGAGGGAACGGATGGATGGATGGATGATGGATGGATCAATACGGCTGAGCCCTTTGGATCGGGCGGTAGCTTACGCCACCTATGCGGTGACCCTAGAACTGCATTTCACAAAAGCGAAGGTTTTGCGGGATTTCCGAGGTCAAATGTCCGTAATACCCATAGAAAGGCTCGTTTATAACATTGACAAAAGCTTCTCGAGCCAAAAAAGAAAGGATATTGCGCGAGAAATAAAAAAAAAATATGCCGGACCGCCGAGTTTACACTGCTTCCCAATAGATGGCGCCAGTGTGTTCTCTGGTTTAAGAAGTTTTAAGGAACCCAGGTTTAAGAGGCCGCAAGCAGTCGCAAGAGTGTGAACGGGCCTTAACTTTGAGGTTTCGGGGATGTTGTTTTTCAAATATACCGGGCGTTCCACGTATGAGTGACGATATTTTGTTTTCTACAAAAATGGCACTTAAATTATTGAAATGATTCCTTCGAGATAACGTCATTGACAACGGCGGCCGTCCAACGAGTGGAAAGCAATAATTAGCGAACTAAACACTCATATTCTACCGTATATACTCGTTTCATGTTAGGTCCAACTATGGCCAACGCTATGATCCAACGGAACTGCGCCAAGAGTGAATCTTTGTGGTGCTCGTCATCTTCTGTGCGTTTACCACCGCCGGTTACGCAAACCGCGCGCCCGCCTGGCAGGGGTCTAAAGGCTAGCCCACATGGCGCGTTTTTCAGTGCGTCTAGACGCGCGTCTCGGCTTGGCGCGCGCGCTAAGCAGGACGCGTGCGCCCAGTCAAACCACACGCAGCGCTACCGTGCAGCGCTTCGCGTCTGCGTTTCCGAAGCGTCTGCCCAACGTAGCCAGACGCGCTTAAGAAACAAAAGCAAACATTAAATAGAAATCGCGCGGTAAATGATGGCTACATGCCGTAATATTGAATTTTAGTAATAGTAAGCACTCATTTTTAATTACAGCAATCGCAATGAAGCTCAATTTTACTAATTTTCATTCTTTTTAGTGCGTACGCCCCATCCACGTTTCGATACGCCATTGGCATCCCCATCGCCCGCGCCAAAACATTTACATAATTTACAGCTGGCCGCTGGCCGCTACAGTGGTTACGTTGTAGCGGTTGTTGCCGGTAGTATTAGTTTTGTACCTTTTTCTCTCGGTGTCCTTGTATTCTTTACATTTGGCCTGCCAGAGTGCAGGACGCTTTTGTACTTCGCTAGGTACTCTCTGTTCCGCTGAAGCAGCGTCAGCCTCTCCCGCGGAGCAGAGAGGATTCCCTGGACTTGTGTAAAAGGTATGATAAACTGATATCCGCGGGGGGAAGGACGTAACTACCCATGTTCGCCCTGCTGCTAGCGTTGGCAGGGCCTAAAAGCCGTTTTTATTGAAGGCCGCGAGCGTGCAAATTTTGTAAACTCCGCGCGCGCGGGTATGTGTGTGTGCGTGCGCGCGTGCGCTTTGATGGCACAGGGCTGCTACCCGTATTTGTGTGTATCTTCCTGTTTTGAGTGTTTTTATTTATTTTCCTTTCCCGTATCCCTTTCCCTACTTGGCGGCGGGCTAGCAGGCCCACCTGCGTAAGGGTCTCGACCTTTTTGCCTAGCCTCGCACGCTGCCGAGTGGGTATCGCAATATGTGCAAATAAAAAGTATTATTATTATAATTATTATCGCCTTCGTTGCGAGGTCTGTGGCGAAAACTACAATCCTACAGTGGAGAAAATTCAAACGCTCCTTGCAACTAGTGAACACGGCGGTTCATTGGTTGTTGCCTTCTGGACGCAGCGCGAGACGCGACGCGTGGACGCAAAATATCTGGCTCTTCCAGATACGCCGGGATGCGCCAAAAAACGCTGCGTTTCGTCCCGGCGCCGGAAGTGACGTCAAAGCGCAGGCGCAGACGCGACGCAGACGCGGAGAAAAGCGCACCATGTGGGCTAGCCTTAACCCAATGTGGAGAGCCAGTCGTCTGCGTCTTGCGCAGGAGTTTCGGTGACGTCAGAACGACACCGAGCTGTGATTGGCTCTGATTAAAAGATAGTGGGTAGAGCTCAAAGCAAGCTGCCTTCAGGTCTACCCACTGTCCTTCAATCAGAGCCAATCAGAGCTCGGCGTTCTGACGTCACCACAATCCCCGCAAAAGGAAGCAGACGAACTTCTGCTCCCCATGAGCATCACCAACGCCTTTGGCTACGAAAGCGCATGAATAGGAAAGACGTAACTTACTCGTAGAGCTGTCTGCACTTGTCTTCGTACTGAGACCGAATCTGAGCCAGCTCGTTGCGCGTCAGGGCGACGTTCGTCTGCGTGTCCATCAGGCTGAGCCTGAGCTGCCTGTTTTCCTGGAGCGCCTCGTCCAGCTTCGAGTGCACCGAAGTCAACTTCCGGTCGTGCGTCTCGTTCGCCCTCAGCCATTGGTCCACCTGCCCACGACGTCAGGCAGAACCAAACCAGCGGTGAGAGACGCTACGGGCCGGAACCACAACTTCCGGTCCTCTTTCTCGTTCGCCCTCAGATATGTGTCCACTTGCCCACGACGTAAGTCCGCACAAATGATAAGAGATGCTTAGGGCGTCGACAAAAGCTTCCGCACTCCCAGAAATATGGAGCGACTGTTTTCCCGCAAAGCTCTCGGGACATCCAATCGCTGTAATCTACAAGGAAACTCGGCCAATGACGAAGCTGTAAATATTATTAGATCTTTTTTTTTAGGTAATTCAAATAAACTTGGCTAAGATATCAACGTCAAACTCGTGCGAAATTTAAAAAAAAAAAAAGCGGAGCAAAAACAATGTAGCCATTACCCGCTTTTGTTATCGCAACGATGAGCATCACTTCCATGTAAACAGTGCTGTCCCCAAGCGGCACGTATTTTGGCCAAGCATTGGCCAATGACTCGCGATGGTTTTTTGGCCAATAACCAAAGAGTGGCCATTCATCGGCTGATGGCCAGTGGCCAGTGGCCAGAGAATAGCCAGTCATCGACCAATGGCTAGCCGCTGTCTGGCCTATAGCCAAAGGACCATTGCCAGCCATTGACCAGTAATTGGCCAACTCTGTGCTGCTTGGGTCATTACTGAGGTGCAAATCTGTGCGATCAGGTTTTGTAGATCAAGTATTTTCGCCGTTTCGGTTGATATAAGGGCTCATTCACACTGGAAGCGGATCCGCGTTCGCAAAGCGGTTGCGAACGCGGTTGTATAAGGATTCAGTACAATTGCACGCGCACACGATGACATCAAATGCGCGGGCAATTGCACTGGATCTTTATACAACCGCTTTCGCAACCGCTTCGCGAACGCGGATCCGCTTCCAGTGTGAATGGGGGGTAACCGCCGAATTCAGAAACGTCACTCAAACTACACTCAAACTGAAGGACCCCTCCACTTCCTCGAGGAAGGCGCGAGGGCCGGCGCGGGCCAATCGCGAGGACGGAACCACCGTCGCGATTGGCCAGCGCCGGCCCTCGCGCCTTCTTCGAGGAAGTGGAGGGGCCTTTCAGTTTGAGTGTAGTTTGAGTGAGGTTTCTGAATTCGGCGGTAAGTCTTCTTATTTGGAGCGCGAGCCATCCCGCGCTCCTAGCTTTGAAAGGAGCATTTCTAGTGCAAGTGCTCGTTCTCCGGAAGAACGCTTCAAAGCAGGGACCTCGAACTCTCGTGATTGTGACATTGGCTAGTATATACTCGTGGACCATTTCCTGTAGCTACGCAGTCAGCCATCGGCGCATGGGCGTTCGAGCGCCTTGAACGCCAACCAAAGCTGCGCACGCGCACTCTTCACTTCTGAAAAGCCACAGAAAATTGTCCATTTATATACGTAGTTCTTTTTTCCGTCTTAATAGAAATGCCACTTTACTTTTTGCAGTTACCATCATTTGCATCGATAAAGTGTTGGTTAGTAGGTGCCCTTCGATGGGACTTACCTAATCCGAACTAAGATTATTAACCAAAATACAAACTATATAACCGATCAAAACGATGTGGTACAATGTGGCAAATTCCCCATATGGGCCTGAGTGACCCTAGTAAGAACAACTTTCTTTCGAGTGGGCATCTACACAACCAAAATCCACTTTCTCACCTTTTCGAAGAGAGACACGTGGGACTGAAGTTCGTCCATTTCTTCGCACATTTTGGAATGCAGGGTTTTACGTCTCGCCTCGGCCTCTTCTTGTGCCTGCAGTAGGAAGATTGTTTCGAGACACGAACCGATTAAATATCGTATTTGAATCTGTCATGACCAAACTTCCAGCCATCTACGAACGCAGTTCAACGTTCGCAACAACGAGAAAAAAATTACGCGCGCTTGGTTACGCTAACAAAAGACGGCGGAGCAGAGAATGCGTTGAGCGTAAACCACCACCTCGCAGAAATTAATGTCACGTGACAGAGGGTCAAATGAAGTGGTAAGATCGCGTCAATATCCCCACTGAACTTAAAAGAAAAATTCACATCACGTGACTTAATCCCGTGACAGTGATTTTCCCGCTAAATTTGGCGTAGATACTGACGTAACGGTTCATCGTGACGACCTTATCGTAGGGTCCGGTAAATAAAAACACATTACGCGTTGAAACTCTCGAAACGTGGCCGACCCCGAAAGGTTCAGCTTACACGAAACACTGCGTTATATTCGGTTTCCCGTTAGGAACGTTTCGTAGACCGTACGTCAGAGCTTCGCTTTGCTGTAACGGGAGAGCTCGTGCCGTGACTTCGAAGCATGGCTATGAGCACGGCGTACGCTGGGTCCGCTCTCCGCAGCGTACGATCTACCGTAGCCCCCTCTATACTCACAAAGCCTGGCGGTTCCACTAGAGCCACTAAATAAGCTGCGCTTAGAGTATCGGCACTCCGTTCCCCGACATTGTTGTGGGCGCTGCCATTTTGGCTCGTATGCAGAACAGACGCAACGGCCGATCGTCATGATTCAAAAGTGCGACATCCTCAGCATTAGATTCGGTGTTAGGAAGGTCATGTAATATTGCTTTACTCTGTCGCGAACGGTTTAAACATTTGTGGAGGGCAGAAAAGCATTTCCTGTGATTTCAGATAAAGCTTCAGATAACTGGCAACCTTGATTTTAAGACACAATATGGCCAAGTGTCGTTACTCTGAAGCGTAGCTTATTTAGTGGCACTAGGTTCCACGACAGAGCCATAGAATGCCCGGCCGCAGATTCGGAGCGCGAGGATCTGGTAGCACAGAGCATCAGAGAGTTATTCCTGGGGGACCTGGACGGCAGCGCTCAGCTTTTGCACCCGCGAGGACCCGAAACACACTCGTTCGTTCGGGAGAAGTGTGTTTCGGCATCTCGCCGCAACGGGGCGCCAGTCACGTGGCTCTCCTCATCCGTTGTCTGCCGCTCCCCCTTTTCCGTTTCGGCGGCCGCTTCTCGTAGCAATCTACCAAGCTTTGTCAATATATACGAGGCTATGGATCTACTAAAACCATCTACTAACAACGAGCGCAGCCGACGCGGCATGCGCCGCGATCGGGTCGATCAAGCAGCGCCAAGTGTCGTTTCTGCGCGCTTGTTACAGGGAGCATTCACTGGACGCCATATGTGTGGGTGCTATTTAAAGCGCATGCTCAGAAAGAGCTCGTACTAATAGGTCGCCAAGATGGCAATCCTAGGGGTGTGGAATGCACGCTGCAAAAGAACCGCGGAAGCTCGCCATCAGCGCGCACTCAGCGTTCCCGCACCTAGCTATAGCCGCCAGTGAACACTCCCTATACTCAGTGTACCCTGAATCCACTCGAGGGAGAAATCCCGGGGATTTCTCCCCGGCACGCGCATCCCACGACGAAAACGAGAGGCTTTGCGATGTGCAAAAGCCTCGCATTTTCATCTCGTGATGCGCGCGTGGCGGGGAGAAATCCCCGGGATTTTTCCCTCGTGTGAATACCCCTTGCCGACTCGACGGGCTGAGTCTGAGATTGTGGCTTTGAAACGTTCCTATGCAAAGTGGGCTCGCGTGCTACAAAAGACACGTTTCAAAGCGTGAAGAGCCGGCTGTGGCTTTTGCTTGTAACTTTGGCAGAAGTCTCAGCTTCAGTGTGAACGGAGCACGTCACCAGCAAAGCCAATCACGCACACACACAATAAAAAAGCGCAGGATAAGATGGCATTCTCCGTGGGTGATTCGTCTATAGCCGGTGATAGGACACGCGGAAAATCGACGGGCGCCGTGAGAGTGCACTTTTGGCGCAGCTAGACGGCCTTCGTCGGGTTGTAGCGCTAGCTGCGCTCGAACTTGGTCTAAAACGCGGACTATAGCGACAGTCTGACTTTTTGTGAAATGGACAATAGTGACACGAACAAGTTATTAATGCGAAAGCATTAACTGTCTCATGGAGCGAGCTGACGTCATCAGTTTGAAGCGCGGAAACGGCTCCGAGTTTCCGTGATTTCGCCTTCGGTTCCATTGGCTGGCGCGCGTCGACGGGGCTCCCATTGACCGCTGCGCCATGGCTATGGTGCCTGGATCGCGTCTCTGACTGGTGTGTTTAGCGTCCTATCCCACCCATACATCAAAAGTGGTTCGCAGGTGGCAAGAAATGACGTCACAGAAACCGGAGTGTTATGTTGGTGCCTGTCGCGATCCAAGCGGTTGGGCGTAGAAATGCTGGCGAAAAGCACGAGCGAACGCGAGTGTCGCTATCGTCACGGCGTTCCAGCTTCCGGCTGCCCTATCTTCCGTGGACCGCCACAGTGGAGAGTGACCTACAACAGAACAGGCGTCTGCCATATACACCACAACTTTGAGACACCGCCAGGTTCGCAACCGGCGACAGCATGACACTTTTATGACGTCATCAGGCGGAAATCGAGGGACCACTTTTCTGGGCGCGGTAAACATACCAGTCGGAGACACGTTCCAGGCACCATAGCCATGGCCTCCTAGATCCCGAAGCGCGCGCGCGCTAGTACGCAGCAGACGACAAAGGGAGCGGACGAGCGGCTTGCATGCTTTCACATTGACAACTCATATGAAGTGCTTAGGTGAACCTCGAGTTTTTTTTTTTTTCTGGATAGCTAATAAACCTTATGTGCGTTTACATGCATGTTTATACAGCATGAAGTTAGTCTGCCACAACGGACGTCTTGAGTGTGGTACGACCGCTAGCCTGGGGTCTTTAACGTGCACCACGCAGTAGTGGTACACGGCCGGACGCCGGTATACGAATGCTCATCCAGATCGAAACGCGCAGGGCTGGGGATTGATAATACACACTGCAAGCCACAGTTCTAAGGAAGTGCAGCGACCGAAAATAAAAACTGTAGGTCACGCATGACTGTATCCATACACGGAAAGCTGCAAGTTGTCCTACCAGTGCCAGCGCCTCCTATCGATAACAATGCCATGGTGCTGAATGCGATGACGTCATCGGAGAAGGCCAACACTAAACACAGATTGGACACGACGACTGCGTCGACGTTCGGCGCAAAATTTAACACGAAGCCGAGCGACGACGCAACACTCGTTACCAACTTGTGTGCAGCGTTGGCCTTCTCTTATTACGTCATCTCATTCGGCACTACGGCTTTGTTGTCTAGGAGGTGTTGCCAGTACCCTTCACGGGACAAATCCTAAAAAAAGCCGCGGGCATTACTGAACAAAAACTAACGAAATGACTTTCTCGTTACTTGTAAATAAAAGAAACGAGTTACCGAACCTAGGTTACCTCAAAATAAAAGGAACTTGTTAATGTTGGAATATATTTTAACGCTCAAAAACAAGGACAAAAAGGCGAGCATCAGACACCACAGTGCGCTTAACGTTACCAATAAAAGTAACGGACTTTACTTTTCGATACTTTTTTTTTTATTTATACGTTTTACTGTTTTGACGTTACAAATATGCATAAAAGCCTTTTTTTTTTTAAGTGGAAGTTTTTTGTGGGAAGTAGAAAGGCTGAAAAATGAAGGTTTGTGGGATAAGCGTACGGATTCAAAACTTGGCGCCTAAAAACGCAAAAAAAAAATAATATATTGTTTTTATGAAGTCTGGGGAAGAAGACGCCACGAGTAACCTAACTTCGTTACCTGTAACTCGAAGTATGTACCGTAAATACGTTATGCTTTGAAAATGTTGCGAGTACGTTCCTACGTTACTGACAAGAAAAAAAACGCGTTACCGGAAACGCCGTTATTTGTAACGCGTTACCCCCAACTCTGCTTATAGGATGCCATTATCTCGGTCACACTTCTCCTAAAGGTTTGACTTTTTCATTATTTATTTTGAAACTGGCTATTCATTCCAGGTACTATTTCACTCTGCCAGCGTCATGTGTAAACTAAAACTGCGCAAAACAAAAGTGCGAGAAGCACAGTGGAATAACATCTCATTCCTCAGCGTACTTAAAGTTATAAAAGAATAATACAATTAGATCATGATGTAAGACCTTGACTAGACAACAACTCTCTACAACAAACAGCTATCCTTTTCTTTTCTTTTTACGTTAAAGTTGCTAGACACTGACGGCCTCAGAAACGCAGGGCGCGGCTTCTTTCGCGCTTTCTGCTTCGTGATTGGTTGCTCGGCATACGTATCGCTCGTGCCGCAGTCTGATTGGCTGCTGAGACGCTCAGGACACGCCCCGCGACTATACCTCTTTCGGTGGGAACGGGCTTCAAATATGGCGGTAATGAAAAAGCTCTGTTCCCTCACCCTCCCAAGTCACGCCCCTGAGGCGGTGCTGCAGTCGGCACTCCGCATTATCGAACCTAGATTGTAGAGGGTGTTCATCTCAAACCATGGGGAACGTTCGAAATTTAATGGCGGATGCCGATCGGTCAATCTTAAAGACTGACGACCGGGTCACGCTTTCCACTTTTCCCTCTCTTCTCCTTTCCCCCCTTCTGGACTGTCCACCGTCGCCTGTATCCTCCTCCCCCATGGTGAGGAAGATCTTCTGCCTTGCAGAATCTCGAGTCTGGTCGTTGGCCTTTAAGCGCGCATGCGCTGCGTTGCTGCGTCGTCGCGTGACGAGGAGGAAAGCAGGCGGAGACACTCGCAGACGACCAACGTCTCGCCACCTCCTCGCAGCCCCTGTACATCCTTCGCGTGTGACGTCATATGACACCGTAGCAGCCGCCACTACACCTTCTGCAGCGTACATTTCGCACCATCGAATGTGTTCTTCTTAGCGAGCCTTGCCGAGAAGTGCAGGTTCGATGATGCGAAACGTATGCTGCGGAAGGCATACGGGAACACGAGCATGGCATGGAGCAATGGCGGCCGAGGACCACGTGACCCTGATCGCGCGGTTGGACACTCTCTGTAATGCGGGCTCTCTATTGCGCATGCGCTGATGCTTCTATCCCTTCTCATGGATCTGTTTTCTGCGCACAGCCCACAAACGTCTCGTGGGGGCTAGAGCGGAATTGTTTGTACACAGTGCGTTGGTGTACAGGTCGTTGAGACGCACCTTTGCTTTTGCTTGCTGCTCCACGAGTTTCACTTGGCTGTCCATCTCTTCTTCCATTCGCCGTAGGTGCTCTTCGTGTTCTTTCTTCTCCCTAAAACGAAACAACCCCAACCTTTGTCCTTGTTTTGTGTTGGACGCGCTACTAAAATAAATAAGAACTGCGCCTCACGGTATTTTATTTATTTATGTATTTACAACGCCCACCAACCGCCCGAGGACTGTTGGTGGGCACCGTAAATCCAACATCCCAAATACGCTCCAAATGTGTAGGTTAATAGATCTTCCGTGGGGTCATAAACCACATGACATCTCAACCTCACAGCCTCACAGTGTCACGTAAACACCGTGAAGTCATCACGGTGTTCACGTGATGACCTCATGGAGATCCCTTTAAAACGCTGATGACGTCACGTGAGCTCCATGACGTCATCAACGTGATGCCACCATCGAGGCTAGATGTTGCAGACGCGAAAGCGCTAAACAAACGTAAAGAGGAATACATGTCAGTGCACATCACCATCACGGCCGAAATGAGCAACAGTAACAACAACACCAGAACGCGTGACGCGCGATGCCGTCAGTGTCGTTTTTGCTAATTTACTGCAAAAGCTTGTTTTCGCTCTGCAAACGACACGTGCTCTCGTTACGCCACTTTTCCACCGCATGTTGTCGGCCAGCAGGTATACGATTGCATCCCGCAGCCCACCTGAGCCAGGTGTTCTCGAGTTGGTTGTTCTCCTCCTGGAGCCTCTTCATGTTGTCCAGGAGGTCCGCGATGACGTCCTCGAACCTCTCGACGACCTGCGGTTTCTCGCTGCTCTGCAGTTCTTTGTAGAGGGCGTTGAGGGTCTCCTCGCTGTAGGACGAAACGAGAGAGATTAAGATGAGCCCAGGAAAGAAGTCCGTGGCCGATTGCTATGGCCGCCGACTCGTGCCTTCCATTGGCGACAAGATGTCATATGGTCCCTTTCTGTGGCGTCACCACAGGCACGTAGCCAGGATTTTGTTTCAAGGGGGGGGCGGGGGGGGGGGGGGGGGGGGGGGACGCCCATAACAAAATGCTGTATGAGGGTGAGGGGGAAAAGGAGGCCCAAGCAAAATAAAAATTTTGGGGGGGGGGAGGGGCGGGCCCCCCTCCTTTCCGGCTACGTGCCTGCGTCACCATAAGGATTCTCGCAGCGACAATGTGGAGTGACAATGAGGCTGTGTCAGGAACATAGTGGGAGGTAATCATCGTGTCCTTAAAATCAAATCAGTCAAAGCTGACAGTCCTGACATTTCTCTTATTTCCCCGAATAAAAGCAGAATTCTCGAATGCAGACTACAGCAGCGCTTTTGGTCGCGTACGTGGTCAGCAGCGGCCACGCATGAAAAGTGGAACTGGCATGTCACTTTGTCGGATGTCGCCGTCCTGGCGGATAGTCATATACGCATTTCCCACAAGGGCGAGGCCATCACTACTTGTATGCGGTAAAACATCGTTTCGATCTCCCCACGCCGCTGGAAGCTGTTCACGAGAAATGCGTGATTGTCACGCGTTCATGTTTTGCCTCACCTCTATTTTCTCGCGCATTCCAGATTGAAATGTAATATTATTTTTTCATCCCGCATACCAGATACGGAACTCACATGACCGAGAACGACAGGAAACAGCAAACATCCATAGAAGTTCTAGCGAAAAGTAGGAGCGAACGTGAGTACCGCTGTCGACGCCGCGTTCCGACTCCTGACATAGCCTCCACTTTACTCACAAAGCCTGGCAGATTTGGAGCGCGAGGATCTGGCAACAGAGAGCATTTCTCGGGGAACCTGGACGTCAGCACAGAGTTTTTTGCAGCGGCGAGGACCCGAAACATGGTTTGCAAGTCCGACGAGAAAAGAATAAGCGGTATAGCGCGAGGAACGCCAGGAGCTTCGAGCGGACATTCCATTGCTCGGGAGAAGTGTGTTTCGGCGTCTCGCCGCAGCGGGGCGCCCGTCACCTGGCTCTCCTCTCATCCGTTGTCTGCCGCTCCACCTTTTCACTTTCGCCGGCCGCGTCTGGTGGAGATCTGCAAGGCTTTGTCAGTATAGAGGAGGCTATGCTCCTGGCTGTCGAAGCTTCAGTGGACTGTCAATTTAACGGGCGCTCGGTTCCGGTTCCCGTTCCGTTGCAAACGGCCTGCCGAGTGACTCTTTTTGCCAGGGAAAGTGGAAGTGTCCAGAGTGGCCGCATTCAGTGGTATTGAGCCTGGTGACGCTGATCAGTGGCCACGTTAAGGCGGTTTCACATGCAGCGATTCTCGTCCGAAATCGGTGCGACTTCCAGTTAATGTGCGATTAAAATCGCCGCCGCACTGTCACAGCGGCTCTGCGACTGGTTTCTACCAAGTTGGTATTTTGTCGCAGAGTCGGTGCGATCACTTCATCGCCAACCAGCCGTTCATTTGCCAGCTTTCATCCGCGATAGTTGGGTATTTGAAAATAAATTTAGACACCTGAAGACATTTGGTTTAATGCTTAATTATTATAAATTTCTAGTTACATATTGTATTCCTAAAACATTTGTGTTTACTAAGTGTCGTTTTTGTTGTATTTTAGGCAAAGTCGAACGCGTCGCGTCCGTGTCCGAAGAGCCGGCCGCGCCGACAGAAATCGCACGGTTGTTGAAGCGTGTGAAACCAAAGTTACCAAACATTGCGATCGCACTTGCTGCGTCGGCTGTCGCACCGATTTTTTTTTTTTTTTTCGCAACAGTCGTTGCTTGTGAAACAGGCTACAGCTCGCGGTGAGCGAGTAGGAGGGGCACAAGGCCCAAGCAACGCAAAAACATTGCTCTTATCCGCTGCAACGGGCCTCAAGCGACGAACTCGAGAGAAACAGCTGGATGTTAATGGCTTTATCTCCTGGTGAATTAAGTGGCAGGTTATAGCAAAACAGAAGTCATCAAGCAACCGTGAATAGGCATAATTAAAAAAAAAAATTTGAATGTTACAAGGAGGTTATAATGAGCGGGATGTGGCTTTCATATTTGTATATGTATATGGAGCGAAGTGGTAACGAAAGTAGGCGTAGCGTCGAAATGCGCCGTCAACGTTTTCACCAATAGGAGAACTCGGTCATTGCACACCGTCACTAAGTGTGGAGTAAAACAACCGCATTGCTATGGCAGTGCCCCAATAACGCGGTCATTTGGCCCAAATTTAATGTCGGCGTCTTTACTCTTCTTTGAATCGGAGTTGAACGGGTGGGATTCGGAGCCCACGCTGTAAAAAATGCCAGCGCGTCTACTTACCCGCAAAACACTCAAAGAGCCATTCTCTGCGATCTACGAAATCAGCTCAGCGAATGATGAGGTCTGCGCTGTGGCATCACGTAATGCGAAGCGTCATGCTTTGCATTGCACGTCCCGTACAGTACAATGGGCCCTCCGGCACACACTGCCATGGCGTCTTCTACATATACTCACAAAGCCTGACAGTTCGATGACGGGGCCATAGAGCGCCCGGTCGCAGATTCAGAGCGCGAGGATCTGGTAGCAGAGAGCATTTCTCGCGGAATCTGGTATTCAGCGCACAGCTTTTGCAGCGGCGAGCACCCGAAACATAATTCTAAACCCGACGAGAAAACGAGCGGTGGAACGCGAGGAGCACGCGCGGACATTCCTTGTGAAGTTGACAGTAAGTGCTTCCATAGGCTTCGTATAATTCCCGCTCTAACGTCAGGTAAGTAACATTTGTTAGAACTGGTAATTCCATCGCTCATGAGAAGTGTGTTTCGGCGTCTCGCCGCAGCGGGGCGCCCATTACATAACTCTTCTAGGTGTATTAGGAGGCTAGGTGGCGCAAGCTACCGCCCGATCCAAAGGGCTCAGCCGGATTCATCCATTTCTCCATCCTTCTCTCATCCGTTGTTTGCCGCTCTACCTTTTTACTTCGAAGGCCGCGTCACGTGACGATCTGCCAGGCTTTGTCACTATATAGAGGAGGCTATGGCACTGCGCATTGGCTACCACAGAAGAATCTCTCTCATATGCGCAATTGGAGCCGGAAGGCCCTTCGTATACCGTATCGTATGTGCAAAAAAACGTTGCCCTAAAACTCCCTACTGTCTGCAGACTGTCGTTTGTATCTTGTATTCGCAGGCTGACGGCGGCCCAACTATAGTCGACGAAGCCGACTGAGCAAACGATCAGAGCAGCGTCGGTTGCGCGAGGCAGCCTTGGATTGAAAGCTTCTTCCTGCGTAGCTGAGCATGACATCATGGCCGTGTCTTCAGGTGTTCAAACGTCCTCGATGTAAGATCGCGACATTTGGAGGAAGGTCTAACTAAATGTCGCCTCGTTTTTCCTTTCCTTTTTTTTTTCGATTGTTCTCGACGAATAATAATACGTTTGTGTCCTGGTGCGCGCAAAAAAAACACAAAAAAAAGTGTCATTGATATGTTGCTGTACAATGGAAGAAAAGCCGGGCTTCAAGAACCTCAACATGGGCAAGAGTGTTAAGAAGAATAAGAGAATAATACGAACACCGCACTCTCGATTCGCAAAAAAAATCAGCTAAGAAAAAAAATTAAAACAAAAAAATGAAAAAATTAAGAAAACTTTTGGCTCCAAATAGTCATTTTAGCAACAGGGTTCCAGCAGCGAGGTTTTCAGTAACCGTGCGTATATGAAACGTGCTTTCGTCGCTTTCCGAAGCGGCAAACAATTGCGCGATTGTTGGGCAGAGATGTCGTAACATTGGAACAATGTATAACTCAGTGAAAAGCGCAGATTGGTCTGGCAATGCGAAGCCATTCCCACTGTCTCGCCTCTTCCCAACCCCTCCCCCACCTCCTGGGAGGAGCGGCTGACCGATGACACGGCCACCGGCCAGCAATGGCTGGTGGACCGTGCCGAGTCGGTGGTCGCTATGTATGGGGCCCCCGACTAGGGGCTCCAACTGTGTGTACTAGAGCCCATACCTGCAATAAAGTTTATTCATTCATTCATTCAAGCCCAGATTTGAGTAGAAGCCCCGCCTTCAACACGCGCAAGTTTCCTTCTGACTAGCGTTGGCTGTTGTGCCCATGACGAAGTGTTACCACCAGGGTGGAGAACTAAAATCAAGATTATTTATATCTAGAATTAAATCGTAATTTAATTCATGATTTAGGCCAGTTTTAGTCACTATGATGATTTGCATTGGACCTTCCCCGCAAGAAGGATCACCAAAATGTTTTGCATTCAGCGTGTGTTTATAATTTGATACTTTTTTGGGCGCATTTGTTTTGTGTTTCAAGCAAAGACAAATTTAGCAAGAAAGCTTTATACAGGCTGAATACGAAGAAATGCACAATTCTGAGTTAATCGGAGCGTTGAGCTTGATTTCTATTTTAGCTCTAACGTCTTTCTGCAACAAAATCAAAACGCTAAAGAAACAACGAAGAACCAGAAAAGTAATTTCCCATTGCAGGCAAGTTAGAACTTTAAAAATATAATAATGCTTGTTTGTTTTCTTGTTTGTTTGTTTTTGCTCTTAGTAAAATGAAGCTGTTCTTGTACAAGTATGGGAGGGGAGGGGGGGGAGGGCAGCAGTTAAAAGTTGTTATTCACTGTAAACTGTACTTTACAATCACACTCATTCTTTCTTCCGCATGGTTATCAGTGATCGAACGAATTGATCAATCAATCTGCAGTGTCGTAAAATGCATCCAGTGCTAAAAGTCACCCCTTTCTAGCTACCTTTATTTAAATCATAATATTTTATTTAAATCAAAAAAGCTGGTTTCATAATTTTTTTTTTATCTTTTCTCTTTTGTTTTCTATTTTGGCTACCAAAAAGAAGAAAGCTTGCGTTGAAGCAGAGCAGCTACTGATAACCTTTCGCGGAATAT